GTTTAAAGCAATTTTATTCATTTATTTATTTATTTTTTTGTTTGTTTCTGCACAAAAAAGCTGATACAAATATGTCCAAGTTTTACATTAATATTTTAATATATTTATCAAGTAGGGAAAATAATTAAATCACATAGTAATAGGTCGAACTAAGATTCATTCCTGAATATACTCATTAATTTCATAGTAATCGCCGTTAATTAAATATTCTTTCAATTTCGCTTTAACATTTTTTGCATCCTAAATTTTCTACAGATCATCTGGGAGTTTCAAGAAGAAGGTATGGCCTCTTCTCAAGGTGGGGCTACCGCTACCCTTCATCGCAGCCTAGCAATCCTAAGCAATGCAATAGAAATTTGCCTAGTCCTTAACTTTAATCAGGTTTCTGTAAATGATTAAAGTGGTCTGCCTCTCATAGGATTGCAACAGTTGCGGCTCGCTGAAACCTTTTATTCGGAGAGAAATAAGTGGTGAGATGAAGCGTATGCTGAGATCACGGCTAATTTTGATGGGGATCACTTGAGTCGCACGCCGACCATACTTATCAACGGAAAGTTTCATTTCATTCACCCCAGAAATCGAGATCAGCTAGTGAATTGTGAATCAATGGTAGAATGTACTAATAACCGCGAGTGAGAAACTTTTCAACCGATTAAAAAAGGCTTTATCTTCTGAGAATGTCCTGTGTAATATTCACAGACCGCTGATTGAGACCTAAAATTTTGGGAATCTTGTCCTGGACGATTAGGACTACAATTTGCAACTAGGAACTACAATTCCGTGCTCAGTTTAGAAACAACCTATGTACCGTTAGTCTCTCTGTGCACATAAGTGTTTTTCCGGATGAGGCAGATTTTATAATTTCTAATTGCAAAATGAAGTCCATTTATCCTCGAGAAAAAATTATTTCTAATCGGAACGAGTCTTTCATGTAGATTGTATGAAGAAAAATGAACCCTTGTTTGAAAGCAAAATCATCAGATTTTTGTTTTTGTCTTAGAATTTACGCCGGATTTTTTTTTTTTTTTTTTTTTTTTATGCGTTTGCTTTAAAATTGAAGTTTGTAAGAACACACGAAAAAAGTGCCCCAAATACCCCTCAAAAATGTTCTAGACAGTGAAAATTTTAAAAAAAATGGCCGCAGTCGGGTCCATTTGAAGATTGATACTTATTTTACCTAAAGAAAATAGTGTCCGTGGTTCCACATGAGAAGCCATGCTAACCATGGTATACAGAGTGATTCATAAGTCCTGTGCCACCAGCACCTCTGTGCCTTTTGGCCAAACTGAGATAGACTCGGAATTTGTGAGTGCTCCTAGATCAAAAGAAACTACTTTTGGCATCCCCTATGACATACAGAGTGATCCATAAGTCCCGCGCCACCAGCACCTCTATCGCTTAGGTGATTAATATTAATCCAAATTAAAAATAGTGAACATGATAAGCAGAATGTTCTTGTAGCAGAACGTAGCAAACTTCCTCCCAGAAGTTTCAGTGACATTTGTCAAGTCGCACTATCAAAAATTTTGGAGTAAATATTCTGTGCCGAAGTCTATATAGCGCCCAAAAACCCTGAGTGATATGAACGCGGAGCGGAATCTATTCACCTCACGGAGTGACTTACACTGTTACGGAGCGGAATCTACTCTTTTTATGGAGTGTTATACGCTTTTTTCATGGTGTTGATTTCACCTCGTATTCTATCACTCCGGGTTTTTGGGCGCCACATAGACCCCGGCACTTTCACTTGTGGATTTTTAAGAGTGCAACTAAACTTTTTCCTCTTTGCAATTAAGGGAACCTGGCTTTAAAATGTCTTCAATGTTGCCATTTTCCGCAAGTTCCGTCTATCGGGAATAGGTCAAGGCATGACCCAATTCGGCTCGCCAGAGGCCAAATCCACAGGCTGTGTCAAGACTCGACTCTGCGGTTTGAGTGAAGATGTATGGAATAAGATGGGTATGCGCTAAGAGATGCGGCCTGCAAGGAAAAAAAGAAGGCTCTCCAGCAAGTATGATAACGGCGCGTTATCTATCTCGCCCGATTAACGCCACTATTGTTGTTTTTTACCTCTCGCGTATTTCCTCTCCAAAGCAGTCGGACTCGAGCCGCGTTTCGCGAATGGTTAGTGTGGGTGGTGCGCAGCCTGATTATCGTAATTAGTTCTTTAGCGTCGTGTTCGTATCGTAATCGAAATGGTAATTCAAGGGTGGTCAGGTGTCAACGTTGGGGAGGATGACAACCCTAGTAAAAATCCCGTCTTGTCGAAGGTGTGTACATTTTGTATTCCTCTTTTTAAATACCTTCCTGTCGATTCAAACCTCCACGCGGAAACGGCGATCCAAAAGATGTAAGTCCCAAACAATTTGGGAAAAAACACAAGTTGAGATCGAATAAACGGGCGGAGGCCAATTCTATGAGCTCCGGTTAAAGAGCTGACCTCCGCCTTTAACTGCAACAGGTGCTCTCCTCAGTGCCTAAGAATTTTCGTCCAACGGTTATTTTTTTTGTTTTTATTTTCCTCTGCTTCAATTAGCCGAACAATGTTATTACAGGGTTTCCACAGTCAGAGAATATCGGGAAAACCGGGAAATGGCAAGGAATTTTAAAAAGTCAGGGATAACCGGGAAATGTGAGGAAAAATTTGTTAAATCACCTTTATTTGCTTTCTAGATTGGGTTTAAGATTTCCAACAACAAATTTTGTCTGAAAACCATTTTCAACTATTATTCTTCTCAACCACTTGTCATATCTTCAATTGTCAGGGAATTTCACCAAAATGTATCAGGGAAATGTCAGGGAATTTTATTTTCTAATTTCTGTGGCAACCCTGTTATTATTAGTCTTAAAACAAGCGTCTAACAATAAGACTGACATTTACTGAACAGGCAAATGAGAATTTTGTGAAGTCGAATCATAATCAGAATGATAGAATGTGCCCCAAGACCAGAAGAAATCGAATAGAGGCACAAGAATAGAAAATTAAGACAAGATCTAATCCGTAAATGCCCCTATTAACCCAGAGTCAAAGCTAAACATTCATGAAGTCCATGTAACAACTCGTGGAAAATGAGTGACAGCATTCAAAATCCCCCGAAGACTAAAATCATGGGGAGGAATGAGGGTAAAGGTTTGTGTAATGTGTGTTAATAATGAGTAAGTATCAGATATAAATGCATGGGTATGAAATGGGCATAGAAGGAGAGACAAAATTCAAAATCTTAGAAAGACTGAATGGATAGAGGGTCGGCGGTTGAAGGTACATGTAACATGTGGCATGGTTGGTCAATGTGAAAATTTGGAAATGAATCTGGTGTCCAAGGTCAAAAATATTCCATGTTTGTGTCTTATGTTTGATTTGTTATATTCAGTTCATGTTAAACGAAAATGCTTAGTCGAAATCGCAATAAAGTGAGATTTATTACATAATGTTTTAGGATGCATCCAGTAAAATGTAGGACTCCTATTGTAGCTTTTGCCCCTTAATGATGTTGATTTACACATCTACCGCAGTGGCATGGCGTGATTTGCGATTTGTCGATTGATCTGCCATTTAAACCTTTGGAAAAGGATCGAAAAACAGTGTTCGTAGTGAACGTCTTAATGATCGATTTTTTACTATAGCTTCAAATGGGGGAATATCGATGTATCGCAAAGCACGCCACGCCACTGATCTACCGCTGAGTAAAAACGCCGTTTGAGCATTCGAATGTTGCCAAATTTCCTCTTTGAAAATATGTATTTTTGGAGAAAGGTATGAATACTTTTCCTCGAAAATTACAGACTTCTTAGATTGTATAACGAACGAAATCCGCTGAGAGATCGGAAGAGGAAAATTCACAAATTTTCCTGAAAATTTGGGTTTTGTCGAATGGGAGGCGACGCCTGATGGCTCATATGGCGTTCTTACTTAGTACGGCACCAGTGGCGTGGCGTGCTTTGCAATATATCGATTGATCTGCTATGTAAACCCATGGAAAAGGATCGATAGACAGGGTGTTCGCAGCGAACGCTTTAATAATCGATTCTTTGCCACAGCTTCAAATGGGGAAGTATCGATAATCGACGATTCACGCCACGCCATTGCACGGCGCATACATATTGAAAAAAAATTAAACTGTGACATCATGTATAGATAGATACATTCTTCTAGAGTAATATCTTAATTGATGTATGCTTGAAATTCTTATAGGTGTCTACAATAAGTGAGGGGCTCGGAGGACAAGGCGCGCATAAGTGCAGTTTTTGCAAAAATTGAGATATTAATGATTTTAAGTAAAAATAGTCGCAATGCATATTCTGTGAAAAATTTGCCCTCAAATTCTACTTTTTAAACGCTAAAAAGTCAGTTTGAACTTTCTTTCCGCCATAAGGCTCCGAGTAATTTCGAAACTTCCAACACGTATTTCTGGAAATAGCAAAAACGGCACTCACGCGCCTTGCCCTTGAAGCCCCTCAAATGATAATTTAGAGAGGGCGCAAGCTGAGTTTCAAAGTCTGGTTCATTCTCTTATGTCACAAGTCGATTGAAGTGGCAGAATATCTTTTCCGCACAAGTACATTTGTGGTAATTTTTCCGATTATCATTGCCGCACAAAGTCATGTTCGCACAAATCAGATCTCAAACACCTGGCAACATCATTTTTCTTAAATATGCCTCATATTTTTCTCGACGTTGCCACATACCTACTACGGAAAATTATTTGTGCGAAAATGATTTTGTGCAGCAACGATACGATAATCGGAAAAAACACCACAAATGTATTTCGTGCGAAAAAGATTGTCAGCCATTGAAGTAGAATGGAAGGTCTAAATATCTGTATCTCTAGCCAGGCTCTCCTTCCTTTTCATGTTTTCCCTGTTCAATGTAGACGTAAGCACTACAATATTCCGTCACATACAGCTTTCGCTTTTTTTGTTGGCTTTCCATGTTCAACTGAATGTTACTAAATATCTAGGTATTGGTCTCCAAATTTTCATCAGTATGTTGTCGTTTTCAGGTGCGAGGCCACCAACGAGTTCCCTCAGGTTCGCAAGAATTCAAAGACCTCACCAAACGTGACGCTTTGGAACAAATGAAAAACGATATTGAACGGTTAGTTTCAACGGTGCCTGAGGCGCAGCGAGAAGCCACGAAAAAGGAGTTGGATGGGTTCTCGTCTCTATTTGAACGATACCTCCAAGAGAAAGGTCCATCTCTCTCTTGGAATGATATTCAGAAACTTCCTGAAAATGCGGTATGTTAACCTCTACATTTTCAATCTTTTCCCTCCATTATTTTAAATATCCTAGTATAGGTAACTAAAGATAAAGTGAATATTTATCAAATTTTCAATAAAATATATGTCGATGGCTGCTTTGTTTCAAAATATCCGAGCATGGGTAGGTATGTCTATTTCATCAAAAGGAAAGGAACAAAAATATTTCTATGAAGTTTCTGTTAAAATATTTGAATGAGCAAAGAAATTTCATAGAACAATCAAGAAAAACTTTTGGTCAGTTTTTAAGTTACGTGTTCAAATTTTGAACTGAACTTGTGATAATCTTTCTCTAACAATAAGTGAAGAATTTTAAATTCTGGTAAAATTTGAAGCCATCAAATTAGTTTCCCTTTAAAAAAAAATTAATAAGGAAAGTTTTTGACACACGGCCGTTCAGACTCTTATTTTTCAAATTTCTCAAAGCTATTGGCTGAAAGTGCCGGTAAGCCTTCTCTTATCCTGCTTTTTTGCTCCTTATCTGCGAAAAATTACGAGGTAAATTTGTATGGAATCAGCGTTTAAACTGTTGGAAGGAGACCGTATACAACGTCCTGTCAAGCAGCTAACCAAATAGAGATACATGTTTGAGAGAGGTATTATTATTATGAAAAAAAAAAAAAAAAAATCCAAGTGGATTGGATCAACTGGTTTAGCCAGCAAAATAGTTGTGGCCATCATTGACGAATGGAAATATGGTGGAAAGGAAAAATAAGTTATAGTTAGGTACGGAATGTAATTCCAGTTCGTCTCCTAATTTTGTTCTTTTCCAAGGATCTTTTGTAATCCTCTAAAACCTCTCTTTGCACAGAAAGAACTGTTTTTTTTTTTTTTTTTTTTTGCATTGTTTGCACTACATAATAACTTTCCTCTATGGAAAATTCACTTAATCTTCACTACCGTAGTTTTAATTATCCATTTTATCTGTAAAAATTTAGGTCAGAGACTATGCATCATTGGAAACCCCATCGACAGAAGATGCCCGGAACATGTTGGAAAAATTGGTAGTTGTCAAGTTAAATGGTGGTCTTGGAACATCCATGGGTTGCAGGGGTCCAAAATCTGTAATTCCTGTCCGGAGTGATCTTACGTTCCTAGATCTTACTGTCCAACAGATTGAAGTAAGTTTTCTGATCGGCAATAGCCAAGAAGTGATAAGGACACCTTTTGCTAGTTCTTTACAGTTGAACCAAGTTACTGGTGCATCATAAATTGAATAATAGTGTAATAAAGGATACATACATTTAGTCACTGATGTATTATGCTTCAGACTGATAGTGTCAACAGTAAGCATCAAAAGTCTAGCGTTTTCAAGTAAAATCGAAGTAATCTAGACCTGAAGGGGACTTCAAACTAAATTCAACGTTTCATCATAATTTTATCATCATATTTTACTTTTATACCATAAATTAATGTGATTGATATCAAATCAAGTCTTAAATGGGTGTATTTATGCTAAAAAGAACTATGTAACACGCAAACCCTATGCACATCGTTCTATTTAGCATAAATACGTCCAAATAAGGATTGTGGAGCAGATGTACCAAAGGTCTAATCCGTAACTATTTCATTCCTTATTTTTTCTGAAGACTAATTGAATCGCATTCAGCAAAAAGGAACCAGCGCAATTACAGTGTTTTCAAAACTGTGCAACTTATTCTTTACTTATAAAAATACTTAATATATGCACAGTATTAAAATTTACACAATTATTTCCCTTGAAAATTAACAATTTTTTCCGTGGGAAGCAAAAACTATTTGCTATTCTGGGAGATTTTTTATATACTTATGAAGAAGGGCCATTTTTACAACATTGCAATTGTGTGGTTCCTTTTTGCTGAATGCGGTCCAATTACTTCTCATCCCTTTCAGCTCCACGAGCAGTTCTATAAAGAAATATTCACACCATAATTTTTTGTTCTCTTGAAAAATCTTTAAGATTGTTCAATTTAAAAATCAGTTATTTTCGGGGACTAAAATTTTCCTGATTTCTAGTTAAAATAAACTGCCTCCTTAGCTGTTGACAAGGTTTGGTGAAAATATATACACTTATCTATTATAGACTGGGTACTTGCACATTTTTGAGAAAGTAATATAGGTACGATTTCAAAATTGTGTATGCCTTTATGACGTATGATTGAAGGCAAAGTATGACAATTTTTTTAAATTTCTTCCATTCTTTTTTCACCGTGCAAACAGTAGAAATTATTTTCCGAAGCAATGTTCATTTTTATATGTTTTTTTCTGAATTATTTGGTCAGAGGAGGCTAGGTTCATTGGTAAATTCAAAATACATGTCTTGAAGCTTTGTATGAAGAAAAAGAGAAAGAAAAATATATGATAGAAACGTCCACCTGTTGGAAGCATGGCTATCAACTCTGATTTGCAAGTTTGACTTTTGACCTGTATCAACAAACAAGCTAGTTTGATAAGATTCTCAAAATCTTATCTTGTGGTTTTCCTATCATTATGGAAGAAAATAAAAATGATTATCTCTTATTTTCCTCCTTATGCTGAGCAGAGCTCTTGATTCTGATGTCATACTAGACGTCCATAATTATTATTTTTTCTCTATCCAAAGATTTTTTATCCAGTACCCAAATATTAAGGGATTTTCTTCTTTCTATTTTTCTTAGTCTCCATCATTTTAGAAGTTATTTCTAGTTCATTTTAGCAATGACTCTCAGCTGGACTTGCACTGCACCTTCTCAGTGAGAGACATAGGAAACCAATGTCAAATTCAGACAATTTCAACGCTAGTGCTTGAATGACTTCCACATCCACACTTAAGAGAGCTCTTCACATTGAGGTTAAAAATAGAGTCAAAGAAACTGTTGCGGAATAATTTCCTCTTGATATTGATAAATTTGGAAAAGTACTGTCCACTGCTTGATCACTATATTTTGATCAAACTAATTACTTGCTTTTTTAAATCCTGCTCTCAACTATGTCTGTATTTGAAGTGTGTAGACGCTTCAAACACTTAGGATATTTTTCCATACTTATGAGTCAAACCAAGTCAACCAAGTGAATTAAGTTAAAGATGTCAATTTACAGTTAAATTTTGTAGCATTACAACTGATAGAAGATGTGTCTATATCCCAGCAATACGCAAAAGTACATCGTTTGAGTTTGAATGAATCCAAAATTCCTAAACATAATTTTAACAAAAGTAAAAAGCAGTTGAACGTTGTTATATAGGAAAATAGGGAATGGAAAACAGGGATCTCAAGGGGATGAATGACTAATATGCATGAGCAACTGTAGGTGACAAGTAGAGACAATACAAAGGTATAGACGTAACTAAGGAAACATATACAGCAGTGACTAGTAGAATAATCAGATGTAATGTGGAAAGAACTAGAAAACATGAAAAATAATAGTTCCTGGCAGAGTTTTTACTTATTACTTTCTATCTTCAAAAGTATGAACGGTCTATAGCTCCTAAACTTTGTTTCAAACCTCTTAGCCAAGTCGAACGACACCAAAATCATGCAAAACAGTCAGTTAACAGTTTTACTGTTGCCTTCACCATGTATGTAATCTCACAATTCTCATAGATTCATTTTAACTTTTCTTAATCTTGTTTGATTGCAGTACCTAAACAAAACATACAAAGTTAATGTGCCTTTGGTTTTAATGAACTCTTTCAATACTGATGCCGATACACAAAAAATAATTCGCAAGTACAAAGGTGTTCAAGTTGAAATCTACACATTTAGTCAAAGTTGTTTTCCCAGAATAGAGAAAGAGTCGCTCATGCCTGTTCCCAAAGACTGTCATGTTGAAAAGAATTTAGAAGCGTAAGTAGTCTGAACCTTTTAGCTAAAATTTAATTTAATTAAAGTTGGGGGTATTTCTCACCTATTTGGGTGTTATCATAATGAGGCAAGTATCACTTACACGCTTAGGAACAAATAAGTGTATAACCTGTTTTCTCAATTTTAATCAAACCAAAAGCCACAAAATAGCTGCACAATAATTGAATCTGCCAGTTCAAGAATGACACGTCTTGGAAAAACAGAATTTTACAGAAAATGATAAAAAGCGCGTAACAAGCAGAAAAGTTAAGTTTAAAAAAAGCTATTCATATTCAAGGAGCATCTATATAAGACTTTTAAGATCCATGACTATTTAGAATGAACTATTAATTTTGAGCAAAGAAATGAACAATCAGCAAACTTAGGAATGGGTTGTCTTTGAGCTGACTAAATTTAGAGAGTAAAAAATTTGGACAAAAAAATTAAGAAAACACATTATTTCTGTTCAGATTGCTTTTACTAATTACTATCTATGTAAGCTTGATATCAATTGTACAGTACTAGTCACTTATAAGTAATAAGCTAACCTAACTTTTTTCAAAAGTAACTTCACTGGTATTTGCCATTCGTAAATGGATCCATAAAAAGATAAAAATTTATCAGTAACACATATATCCGAGTTAAAAAGTCTGAAAGAACACAAGTCAAATTATTCGGCATCAATAATTATTTTGGCCTCTTAATGACTGCTAAAATCCACTGCCAGTTTGGGCTCTGCCTGAGTGGACACGAATAAATCTTTCTAGCCGTAGATACTGTCCATCTTTAAAGAGTGTTTTAATGCAAAAAATGATTGCAAAATAACCTGAGACGGGTCATTTTCGAGCTGACACATTCAATTACGAAAAAGCGACTCAAGATCTTCTTTGAACTGGACATATTTTCAAGGAGCAAAATATCAATTTTTGAGAATGGATATATATGAATTTTAAATGTGTTCGTTTTTGAATTTTCAGTTCATAGCTAGACTGATATCAGTATTTCATTCACCATTCACAATTTATGTTGTGTGTCTACGTAAAGAAAATCCCAATGAGCATAAGAAGAATTTGTGAATTATGCCAAAGAATCATAGGTCACAACATCAGTTGCAGTATATTTTTCCATAATCATACTTGCAAAATTTCANGGGGGGGGGGGGGGGAGAGGGAGTTTGATGAACAGAGATGGGAGTTTGATTTGTGGCTCTTTCAAGGCTCACTGCATAAAATATCCCTCAAGAACCAATTATGCATGAAATGTCAAAGAAATTAGTGGTGACCCACAATGGGACATGATTTTCATCAAGGACTGTTCATGAAATATGCAATGATTTGAGGGGGAAGGGAGGGTCGAAGAAAGTGTTACGTAATTTCGTTTCTAGGTGTTAAAGAATAGGGGCTATGCCATAAAAGCGTTAGAAGGGGGTGGGGGTGGCGGCAGTAAAATTTGAAACATAGCTTTACACATTATAGCTTTGACATTCTCTTACCAGTTCAGGTTGACTAATTATTTAACGATCACTTTGTTTTAGGTGGTACCCTCCTGGTCATGGTGACTTTTATGAGAGCTTCAGTAACTCAGGGCTTCTCAAGAAGTTTATCAAACAGGTATGATATTTTACACAATAGGACTCTGCTTAAACGCTAACTTCTTAGAGTTGTTTATTTTAACTGTCATAGAACCCAGATACAAGTTTTGACTGTGAGTTATTTACTGATAGTTCAATGTTGATCACGAAGTTTCAATTTTGTTTCTCTCGATTGTGATTTTAAAGTCCCAAAGCCAAAGAGAAACATTTGCAAGCTTATGAAAAGAAGAATTCTAAAGTAAGCAATGGGTCTGTCGTATAGAAGAAATATGGCCAACTGAGAAGACTTTTAACCGGTCAAATTATAGGAAAATCATGTTGCGTACTTCAAAAACATTTTTGAAATCCTTTTCTCAGTGCAGAATTTCTGCAGTCCATACCATACATTTTCGCTGGTAATCAGATTTGTTCAGAAAGGTATGTAAATGAACAAAGAATTCCGCAAACCGTTAAAAATTCTCCTTACATGTAATTCCAACTGTTTTCAAGAGTAGATTTCCTCAGTATTTAAAAAAATTGAAGAACAAACCAGCCGGAGACGTCATATGGTGCTTTAAATTAGGTCAGAACAAAATGCTACACATCTTTAATTCAGCCACAGTGCCACTTTTGTGTGTAACCCATATTTAGTTTCCAAAAAATCAGAGTGTTTACAAGTCCGGAAGTGGTACTGATTTTTTAAGGGCGGTCCGGAAGTACTGTAAAAGTGCGGAAATTCCACAAGGAGGTCCAGAATTTTTTTTCATTTTTTTGTCATTTTTGTTGCAATTTGAGCGAGAAATTCAAATTTTTGACATTTTTTAAATTTCGTCAAACGGACGTACTGAAAAAGTACTGAATTTTTCTGTTAAGGAGGTACTGAAATTCTTGGGAATGTACTGAAAAAGCACTGTATAAGTACTGATTTTTGGCCAGCCTGTTTTAGTAGACACCCTGTAAATACACTTTTTAGACCAAATTTTCCTGAGTTTGGCGCTTGAAAAGTTTGATTCCAAAAGCTCATCGTGCTCTGAAGGTTGTAAGAAACAGTATATCAAAAAATTTCAAAATTTAGCCAGCGCCAATGGTACAATGTGCAGTGTCCTCTCAGTGGCTTGTCAAGAAATCTACCCTTTCACTTGCAGACTATCTGATATTCATTTGAACTCATGGGATATTTCGACGAAAATTTCAGGAAAAGCAGGGTTTATATCCTTTTACTTTTCTCTGATCTGTGATCTTTAATGAAAGCTTGGTATTTAGTGTGTATTTGATGAGGCATCATCAGGGTGCGGCTTATTTTCGTCATGTCGGAAAATCGACGAGGTCCGGGTGGCAATCGATGCTATCTATGAAAATAATAGGCTGTATAAAATTTGAGCCAATTTGAAGCTTTTTTAGCTGATGCTCAAAGGGATCAAAACCAAGGGGCAAAATTACATTGGTTTAAATGGGCGGAAAAACGCCTGATCCGCGCAAATGCGTTTTTTGGATCTAAAATGCGCTTGAATGAAGAAAACCTGACCAACTCTTAGAGAGGCATCTAGGGGCCTATTCAAAACGAGAAAATCACACTTTTGACCCATTGGTGAGGGTAGGGGGATCACTCGAGTGCAAAATGAAATATATACACCAATTTCGTTCCAGGCTCAAGAAATAGTATGTGAGGTAACATTGCAAAGGGCCAAGTATAGTTCTCAAGGGCTAAAACAACTATTATACATTATTTTTCATCAAGTTCTGAGATAAATTTGCGTCTTCAACTTTGGAACACTTATTTTGAGTTCGATCAGAAGCGAATTCTTAGCTCCGGGCGCGGCGCCTCAAAACCGGCTAGGCCATGACCCCCCTGTCCCCACTCATGGGTCAAAAGTGTGATTTTCTCGTTTTGAATGGGCCCCTAGATGCCTCTCTAAGAGTTGGTCAGGTTTTCTTCATTCAAGCGCATTTTAGATCCAAAAAACGCATTTGCGCAGATCAGGCGTTTTTCCGCCCATTTAAACCAATGTAATTTTGCCCCTTAGGTTTGATCCCTTTGAGCATCAGCTAAAAAAGCTTCAAATTGGCTCAAATTTTATACAGCCCATTATTTTCATAGATAGCATCGATTGCCACCCGGACCTCGTCGATTTTCCGACATGACGAAAATAAGCCGCACCCTAAGGTATCATGGCAAAGTTTTAACTCAAAATCAAATCATAAATCAAATCCACCTTGGAAACAGAGAGCTCTTGTACTATACAATCCAGTTATTCTGGTCGTAAAATAGTCCCATAACGTAATACTCATCAAGCAGGTAGTTTTTTTATCCATAATATTTGGTAAAATTAGCTGAAATCATTTTTTCGTCCGTTATTGTGACACTGAAAGAGCACTTGAATCAAGGAAAGTTGTTAAGCTCTTGACCTCTCTAGCATAGGACTAGTACTACAACCATACCATCACACCACAGGAGGTGGACATTATCTAATGTGAAGTTTCTTCTTCTTTTTTTCTAGGGGCGAAAATTCTGCTTTCTCTCCAATATTGACAACTTGGGAGCCACAGTGGATCTGAATATCTTGAATATGCTGTTGAAATCAAATTCAACATCTGAATTTTTAATGGAAGTCACCGACAAAACCAGGGCTGATGTGAAGGGAGGTACCCTCATTCAATATGACAACAAGCTGAGACTTCTGGAAATTGCACAAGTACCTAAAGAACACGTTGATGAATTTAAATCAGTGAAAACTTTCAAATTTTTCAATACAAACAATTTGTGGGTGGACTTAGAAGCCATTGAAAGAGTTGTCTCAGAGGGTGGACTAAACATGGAAATTATCATCAATCATAAGTCACTAGGAAATGGTACAAACGTAATCCAATTAGAAACAGCAGTTGGTGCCGCCATGAAAGCTTTCAATCACAGTGTCGGTAAGTAAAAGCACTTATCACTTTTTTTTTTTTTTTTTTTTGTTAAATGTTCACAGAATCAATGAAACCTGAATGATTCAATACTAACAATACCAATTTGAATTCTAACAAAAATGAGTAAACTGAAGGTATGGAAATTGTAAGCTTTGTTGAGCTTTAAAAAAAAAGGGCCTTTTTGACTTGCTTATCATCATCAGAGCAGTTGCGTTATATAGGTATGTTTTACAACAACAACAACTTTTAAAACAGAATTTTGTGTTCGAAAGTGTTTATTCTCTTAAAAATAATTGTGTTACTTGTTGTTGTTGTGAATTTATGCATGTAATGAGACTCCTTTGATGATGACTAGCAAATCAAAAAGGCCTTGAGCTGAATATAAAATTGACCATTCACATTGCTTGATTTATTTATATTTGTTAGCACGTCATCATGCATGTTTTCTCATGGATCAGAGCTATTGGAACTTGTGAAATTATCAAAGCTCATTTTAGCCTTAAATGGACATGATAGAAATTACGTTATTATTGAAGCTGTGCCAAATGTTGAATTTTAGTAAAAAATTAATGCCAGGCAACTGTCTCTATTACTTTTTTTTCCAGATGCAAGAAAAAATAACTTAAAATCGTGCTTTTAAACAAAAATAATGTAAATTTTACAAATCTTTCGACATCATCACCATTGCGTTTATATACATGATTCAATTTGCTGTACGAAGTGTGACAGCCTATTTCAGGTGTTGAGAAGTTTTGCCTTGCAAATCCTATGTCCCTGTTTCAATCTGAAAAAGTTGTTTTGGTGCTAATTCACCGATGATTTTTAGGAGAAACACCCTCACATGAAATGTAACGAAGTACCAATACGATGACATAGAAGTGATGAGAGAAGACCAAAGAACATTTCAGACCTCAACTTTTTCATTCTCTCATTATTTCTAGTCTTGAAATCATTCAAAATTTGGTTTTATTCCAGGCTTAAATGTACCGAGGAGTCGATTCTTACCCGTCAAGAAAACATCAGATTTAATGCTAGTCATGAGTAACCTGTATGATTTAAACCATGGGTCATTGATCATGAGCCCGAAGAGAATGTTCCCGACAACTCCTCTGATCAAGCTTGGAGACGCACACTTTGCCAAAGTTAAAGATTTTCTCAGTCGTTTCGCCAATATCCCAGACTTGCTGGAGTTGGACCATTTAACTGTCTCTGGAGATGTTACATTCGGAAGAGGAGTTTCATTCAAGGTTAGTATGTTCAATTCATTTCATTTGAAACTGAAATTATCTCATGTGATAACTCCGTGTTTATTGTACATCTCAGAACGTCAAGATTCTGGGGATACTGTCATTACTAGAAGAGCAGTTGAAGCATTGCTCTACCCTGCTGTGCTTAGAAAAACCGCAGAGCTCCACTTTCGATTTATTGAGTATTTTGAGACAGAACGCGTCCTGAAATGCTGGATTATAATGCAACCTCATATCCTCTTTTGGCTAAAAAAAAAAAAAAAATATATACCTATATTTGCTTAAAGACACATGAGGGAGTTCTCCCTCGAAATCGCCAAGTCCCGTTTTTCAACCTCACTCCTCAAAGATTGCTCCACCAAAATTGTTGGCTCCATGGATTAAGGTTCCATTCCCCATGGACAGTTGCATATCGACTGTGTAAGTCGGCAATCACATAACTTGGTTTGCAACGTCGCAGACTTTCTATCATATTTTATTTTTTAAAGGGAAAACTACTCAACAGCAATTCTTTAAAACTGCCGTGATTTTTCTTCTCTGTGCGAAGAATATTTCGCAAAAACTTCAAGGAATGATGCCAATTTGTTCTTTTTTAAAAAAGATAACACGGATGCGGAGATTTTCAGACACCGCAAACGAGTTATGTGATCGTCTACTTACACCGTCAATATCATCCTCTCTGGCAGGAGGAAATGTATCTCGATTGAGCTGTTCCTGGACTTTTATTTTTTCCTAAGAGAACCATTGCAAGAATTAGTCTGAAGTGGTCAAGGATTTTTCTTTACATTTGTGAGGGTAGACACAAACATTTTCAGACTTTAGGCAGTAGCTCTCCTTAAAAAAAAACAATGCTCATGGAAATAGTGAATCAGGGCAGACATGATATGTTCGTTCATAGGCGGAATGATGATACAAAGAAGAATATTTTGTCAGTGGCGATTTTGAAAGTTGGCAACACTGTTTTTCCTCCATTGAAATCCATTAAAAATATCGATATTAGGTGGAGTAAGCTGCCTCACCAAGAATCGATTGTTTTGCATACATTTAAATGGAGGAAAAACAGTGTTGCCAACGTTCAGGAACCGCCACTAATTTTTGTGAGATGTAGGTAACTCTAAATATTCTCTGGATAATTACTTCGATTTCAATGGCAGATAGGACCCATAATTAATAATTGTTTTTTCTTTTTGCAAGCAATAAGTTCCAATTTATATATGTATTCGAATGTAACTAATAGAGGATTTTTACTCATCAATGAGTTGATTTTTGAAATTTTCAGTTGGCTCAACAAGTTCTCTGTGAAATCATGAAGAGAAATTGGATGTATTTCCGCTAAACGGAACCAAGCTCCAAATTAGGTTCCTTCTGAGGATTTTAGAATCCTTGATAGCGCGTTCTGTCAATGGAACTAAGTGCCATGGAAAAGCATTGCAAGCATAGGACGAAATGAGCATCGCGTTCCGCAACACCCGCCAATCCAAGCCTCTCTCTCCCTTCCTCCCCCCATGGCACTTAGTTCCGTTTGATAGAAATACGTTCAATTATGCCAAGTGAAGTTTTAATGTGTACTGTGTCGAAGAGTCTTTGTAATATAAGTACAAAATTGAAGACAGATGGAAAGGACTTTGCCCACAGAAATTCATTTTAAATATATATGCTAAGATTCTCAACATCTTGAAAATGCTGTCGGATTTTTTTATAGGCATGTGTGTTTGAATAGCAATATGATCACACTTCACCCATCAAACCTCCTTTCTTGATAACTGTTTTTTAAGTTCTTATCTTGGTAGATGTGTACTTTGTATGGCTGGTATAAATTTTGTTGATGTATTCATTTCCATGAAACTACTTTTACTAATTAATCCTTGATTCCAGGGCACTGTCATAATCATCGCCAATCATGGAGACAGGATTGACATCCCAGCAGAATCACTTTTAGAAAACAAAATTATCTCCGGAAACTTGAGAATTTTGGACCACTAGTCACATTATTTTTAGTCTTTTAATTTGAATTTTAGGTGCCAAGAAAAATAATTACTGCACAATATTTCTTCTTCAAACATATTAAATGCGCTTGTGCTTTGTCTGTTAGGTATTTTGTTTGTTATTGAGATGTATGCCTGAAAAATTTACAATCTCGTTCTTTCACTATAAAAGCACTGAATGTAATAGACAGAAACCTAATCAAACATTTTGTCTGAATGTATATATTTGTGAAAGTTGTTGTTTTTTATTGTTTTCATCGTTGATTTTATTTGTTCATTTTATTTCTGTTCTTAGTATTGTGTAATATTTTTTCTGTAACAGTCATTGAAAAGAAAAAAAAAAATACTGTATCGAAGGTTATTAGAAAAAAGAAATTTGAAATATGTTGTTTATGGAAGAATGAGTATTTTTGTTGGTCTGTCCAATGCTTGCCGTTAATGCCACAAAATCTTATCCATCAATGAATTTATTTTTGTATTTGTACATTTTAAATCTTTGCCAAATATGTATACCAAATGTGAATAATTTTTATCAATTTAGATTTTTGAAAAAGAGAATATTTTCAAGGAGGTGCATAGTATCTTAGTTTTACAAGTAAGATCATACATATGAGAAAAAACATCTCAGCTGTTTAGGGAACAACGCAACACGATTTTCCCTCTCAAAATTTCAGTGAAATACCTAGTCTTGATCAAAGAAAAAAAAATACTGATACTTAACTTTAATATTTAGCTTAAGAGAAGTGTGCTTGGAACTCTTTCTTAACCTACTTATTTGCTGATATTTATTTTTTTATTTCGCTCATTCTCATTGTAAGAGTTGATCAAATTTTAAATTGTTCGTGTTAGATTGATGAAAGAAATTGTACGAGAACAATGTAATTTTAATATTTTTATTACAAAAGTCAGAAAATTTACTATTTGTGCAATGCTTTTATCTGTATTTAACTTTGTTACTGTATCCTATTGATTGGAAACATTGTTAAAATACAAGAAGTTGAGAAATGAAAGCGACCTAAGTCTTTTTTCTTCGCAAACAGTGCGATTTTTTTATGGGATGTTCTCTACAACCTCCTGAGCTCTAAAGATCTAATTTTCCACAAATGGGCCAAAGTTGTAAAATCAGGGCTGAAAAGTTAATTTTCCAGCATTTTAACATGCAATCCCAAGTAGTAATGTCGATGATGGAGTAGAGCTTCCCTTCCCTTGCATTATCCAGCTCCGGCCTAGAAGATACGTAAGACGGACGCCGCTCAACTTGGCATCAACTAAGGCATTGGGAGCATAGAGGGTATTTCTTGGCTTAGGTGCTCCTATCTTCACTGCTAATTTAACTTTGAGAGAGGAACTTTCTTGGTGTAATTTCAGAATTTTTTTTGTACGAATTATAGTAATTCAAGAATATTCAATGAAAAATTTCAACAAATTGAATATATCTGCTTCGATAAAAATAGATGAAACATTAGCGAAGATTCTGAGACACCCCAACTGAAAAATGCCCTCTCTGCACCTAGCACTCCAGTTTTTCTAGAGCAAAAGGTTCGGTGATAGTACCTTGTCTCCTTAGGAAAACGTATGTAAAAATACCAAGAAATTAACTTTTCTCGAAATTAGCACTTGTTCTGAGGAAGCTTCATTTTAAAAGCTCTCCGTTCTCAAGAAGTCATATGGACATCAGATCAAATAATGAAAAAATTCAGAAGGGGCTAAAGTCTTTGGTTTCTGTAAAGGGTCCTCATGACTTGAAAAATAAACAAGACGTGCCCGAAACTATCATTCTAAAAAGTTTTCCCAATTTTTTTGGAAACTTGAAAAACTTTGAACGCTTATTCAAAAGGAATGGATCTTTTGCTAGGTAGGTATTGTTATGGACTAAAAATTTTAAACCAAAATCAAAGACTTTAATAATTAGCCTAGCCAATATTTTCAAAATATCAATAATTGATTTTAATCAAGTAAAGAATCTCAAAAAAAAGTTTTGATCGCTGGACTAACACAAGAAAAAGAAAGGTGATAGGGGTGGGGGATTAGGACGGCTTAAATTTTTTGATTCACTTGCTTGAATTAACGTTGTTTACAACCTACGGCTATTCCCATGAGCAAAAAGGTAATTAATCAAAATAAGACCTAAAAGTCAGTAAGTACCTATTCATAATTGAAAAGTAATGAAAAATATTGGCTCTAAATTTAGCTGTCAATTAGGCATGGGCATTTATACAGGGTCATTTTTACAAGTGTGCATCAAAGGTACCAGTATTATTCAACTAAGTATTTTTGTGTGGTGCCAAAAATTCTTCACAGCATAGGTAAGCCTATTTCTTTCAGTATTCAATAATTGAAAAATATTCTTAGGTACAGAGGCAAAATTCACAAATTTCAAGAGGCAGGAACTATGCTGGTGTGTGTTAAAATTTGTCCTGAAATGTTTCCTGAACAAAATGAGAGAATTTATTAGTTTCCAAGCACAAGAATGAGGGACATTTCAACGGACTAGTTATTGATTAAAAATTTGATAAAGGAAATATATCCTTATCTTCAGCTTTTTTCATCAATTGTCAAAAGTGTAACTATGACTAAACAGTGCTACTAGCTACACTGCTGTGCATCGCAAAAACGCCGTAAACGCCAGTTTACATTTTTTTGAAACAATGTATCACAGCAGAAAAACTTGTGTACCTTGGGACAATGTTTTTACAGATTCTTTTTGGAAACACTATCAAGACTTTAACCTGAAAATTTGAGGTGCACGGGTAGAGCAGTATTTTCTGTTTTATACAGTGTTAAGTTCCAAAAAACGAGGGAAAATCTTGATGGATTTACGGTGTTCTTGCTTAGCACGGCAGTACAGGAAATTCCTCAAAGCACTTTCCAGTAAAATGTTCGGTTAAAAATGATTGAAACTCAATAAGGAACATTAATAAATTTATTTCAATACTTGAAAAATTGTTCGTAGGAGGTAAAAGAAGATCTTTGTAACATAGTAGTAAAAAAGCATTGGAACATTTGAAATACATTCATTTGCTGCGCCAAATTTCGGCATTTACCTACTTAATGGCGAATTCAACTATAACAGACTTTGTAACAGAAGACCACACAAGAGCAAAAAAATTTTGTACTTAGAAAGAGGAGTGAAAGGACAAAGATATTTTGTTGATACTATTATTTGAACCATGATACAAGAATATAGTCTGAGAAAGATAAGCCATCAGAAATTCTTTAATAGAGCTCGCGCATCGTATGTTGAGACAAACGTCAAAGTATTGCTTATGCCACCATTCACCAGTGGTGCCACCTGACTCCATGTATTACCCTGTTGAGTGGTGCAAATTCAGAGCAAATCGGAGATTGACGTTTGTCTCAACATACGATGTGCGAGCTCTACCTGAGACCAGAACCCTCATAGTTCTAGTTCTCCTCACGAGAAATGTTTTCCTAACCTCATAGCCTACTGCTTCAGGCTGTAGATTGCAAACAGAAAATATTCATGATCTTCTCGAGTACCTGATAGGCTTTGAAAGAAAGAAATCGATTTTCTGTAATTGTGAATGAAAACAGAAAATACTCGGAGGATTGATAGTTGAGAGGTGAATGAGATATGGCAAAAGAACTTTGTCTGAATTAGTAATAGCGAGGAGGAATATCAAAACTTAGCGACTTCCAGAGTGATATTAGAATGATAAAATTTACTTCATGAACAGGTTTTAGTCAACAATTTGATCCCCTCAAAGCCTGCTTGAGAAACGACTGGCAAACCAGAATGGTGAAGAAAATAGTATGAGAAAGTATTAAGTATTGAAAATTGTAACTTTAAAATCATTGAGACAAAATAATATAAAAAAAGTTTATGACAACAATGAAAATACAGAGACTTACATGGAGGAATACGTTTAAAAAACACAAATACTGAGACCAAGCATCATTCTATAGCTGAAAAATTACACAATTGATTAATTATTACTATGCTTGGTGCCAGGTACCTTAAAATTAGTAAATGAAATGATTTTACATGTCAGTAACTGCTCGTTGCACAATGAGGGAACCGATGAGTTACAAAACGGAACAACTGCTCTTCTCTCGGAACGGGTTAGCCTTCTGCGAGCTGAACCCGACCAACAGGTAGTCCTCCTGTGTGTGCTCCTGGATGTACTTCATGATATCCTGCACAGCCTGTGACACCAGAATTCTTTTAATTGCAGCTTCCCTCCGGAGCTGCTCTGTAATTTGTCTCTGTTGTTGTATATTAGTTATCATCATGTCCATAATGGCAGTATCCGAGAGGCCTATTTTTGGGGTGTGGTTGGAACTTGGGACACAAAAATTCAAGCCGCGAGTCGGCTCGATTGCACTAAACACTCGATTACGATGAGTGAACACTAATTCGGATCGTAAAAATCTCTTTATTAAGAGCGTAATTGATCGAGTAAGAAATGTGGAGTCCACTATCACAAGAAACGTCACAATAATGAAAATAAATAGAGCATAGAGAGTACATCGATTGATTTGTTTTTCGATGGATGTTCGGGAGTCCGAATTTAGTGATAAGGTGATAAGTGATAACAGGTAAACAGGTTATGTTTTGGTTTTGGTTTGTTTTCATCAGTTTGCCGGTGCCCTTTATCTTGTACTTTAGATTTTCTCAAACCCTGCCGCTCTTTTGTGTAATGTAATAAAAAAAATCAATACATGTACTTTCCTTCTACATATTTTAATCAGGTAAGTATTGCAAGCAAATATACGTTGGTCACTTGGTGCCTTAAAATCTCTGTCTGAAATACATAACGGAAGTAAGGCTCCAGTCGACCGGAAATTTATGCATTGAACGATAATAAATAAACCCTAGGTACTTGGACCTCTTGATAAGGTGTGAGTTTATGGTGATTCCTCCTAGGAAGTACACAAACACTGAAACATTGAACAAATTGTGCTAAAATACGAGTTTTGCTTTTCACTCTTTGCAGAGAAAGAGCTGAAACAATGTAGAAGCATACTTCGTCACCTTCCGGCCAAAGTATCACAAGCGCCACTTTGCCAACTTTTCAGGAGACACTAAAAACTGATTTGCGACCGCTTCAAACGGAGTCTTGGCTTGAAACTTGGAATACTGATCCAGCACAATTTCCTGCCTCGAATTTTAATAAAATTTAATTTAAAAAAAATCATTTTTTTTTTGAAAAGTGGAGTTTGTGATACCGCGTTCTCAGGGCATTCTGAGAAACCATGGCGCTTGCGCTACGGGCGCTCATAGATTTAACAAAGTTTTTTTCATATTTTTCCTTTGTAAGTAATATAAAGAAAATTATTATTTTCATAGTAAATGCATCTCACTAATTCAAAACCATTCATAACTCAATGTCAATACAAACAGCATTTGTGATACTGTGGCCGGAAACTCGGAAAGTGACAAATTGCTCTAGGTTATTAGCTGTTACTGAAATTTCAAAAACTATACCCAACCTGGCGCTTGTGATACTTCGCTCTTAAATGGTGTTTGTGGTACAAAAGTCCATCAACTTCAACGGATTATTTTCCATGTTTATTTATTTTTATTCTAAAAAGGAGTCTTGTTTGAAATAACGAGATGCATTTACATACGAAAATAATTTAGCTTCAAGTCATTCCAAGGGTTGCTGTAACAAAATTTACAAACAATTAGAAAGGTGGGCGGTTGCCGAATTTGGTGCTTCTGATACAAAAGCGCATCAACTTTAATTCATATTTCTACATTTTTGTTCTAAAAAAAAATTATTATTTTCGTATGTAAGTAAATGGATCTCATAATCTCGAAACTATTCATAACTCAGTTTCGGTAAAAATGGCGCTTGTGATATTTTGGCCAGAAGGTGATGACTTCAGCAGGATGTCAGTGAAAAATCTCCTCTGGCAACCCAATGTTAAAGCCAAATGAAGCTAAATGTGAAATATTGCATACGTATGATTAGTCAAATCGCACTGGAATTGCAAGTCTAATGTGGCTCTAATATACAGTCTTCGGAAGAGATTTTTCACCAATAGACTTCTGATGCTTCTACTCTGTTTCAGCTCTTTATTTACAAGAAGTGAAAAGCAAAACTTGTATTTTATCAAAATTTGTTTGATAAATTAATGTCTGTTTTTTTCCTGGGAGGAATCGCCTCGAGTAGGTACTCATTATGATTTATCTTTTCTCATCAACAAGATCTGGCACACAGCTGAAGAGAATGTGTGCTCACAGCGAGTTCCAATATTGTTGTTACATTCAACTCTTCCATTGATCCCGACCATACGTCATAGGTAATTTAGATTAAGAATAAAAAAGTGAGGCCAGTTTTTAAAATTCTAACAAGATGTGTAACCTTTGATTATTTATTGAAATGTGATTTACCGTATCCTTTTACTTTCCTGTCCTGATGACCGTCTTTAAAATTGCCGTTGGCATTATCTTCATGACTTCTTGTAGAGCCTGAAATGAATCAACTGAAATTAACTTATCTTTGACTCATCAAAATATATTTTTTACTGATTGCAACAGCTTCTTTCCTCATAACAATTTTCTTCTGTTTTCAGTTTTATCTATGATTCTTAATTTTCATATTCAAAATGAAGATGCTTCAAAAGTTGTCAAGATGCTACCTACCATTATGGTTATATCTCAAGACCTTCCTGGAAATTGATGTGGATTGCTGTGTTTCCTGTGTAAGTATATCAGAAATCATCAGAGTCACACATCTGTCATTTACGTGAACAATATCTCAGGGGATGAGGATATTAAGCTCACTTAATGAGAGGAAATTAGTTTGATACAAAAAGATCCTGTAACTTAGATAGGTATGTTTTAAGTATGTAATTGGACCCCCAGACAAAGTGAAAATTTATATGTATTCTCATCTTGGTTTTTCAATACATCCGTTCAAACTGCAACTGTATTTGCGGTGTAGAAATATGGCAACTTCAATTTTGACGCTTCAGCTTGACTGTTGAACGTTTCTTAAACTATGAACAACACATGGTCAGGGGAAAAAATCGCATGATTCAGATACCTGCCACAGTGCGCCTTTTGACTCACATAGACTCAGGATTTGCTTATGAGCGGAAAATTGAAATTTTCGTAACCAGTGCTAAATGAGAATATTAGGTAATATCATGGTGAGGAGTCAATTTCAGTTAGCTCCATTGCAGGAATTGTATTCTAGGTAAAATTGTGAAGAGGAAACATGTATCAGAATGTTTCAACTTCTATCTTATGGAGTGGCCGTGATTCATCGTGTATAGAAACGTTTCTTTTCTTCTATGAACGGCTGGAATTGCATGCCTCTGTGTGTTTTTGTAACAAGGTAGTAAAATGGTGCTGGCTCCACACAATTTTGCAGGGAAAACAAAGCCAAAAATTTCAATTGGAGTAAAAAATTTTTGAGCTTGGCATGACATGACCTCAACTGAATCTTCCAATGTAAGCTGCCTGAGCTGAACACTCTCCCCATCTCAGTCTTGTACTGGCACTCAGAGCTCAAACATTTTTGAGTTTAATCGAAATTTTTGGATCTCTTTGGCTTTGTTTTCCCTGCGAAATGGTGTGGACCCAGCATCATTTTACCACCTTGTTACATACAGTTTGGGCCATTTCTTAGTGTTTTTTCTTCCTCCTTTTTTTCCTCGTTCGGGTGTTTTTATGCATACATCAGGCCCAAATCTTGTTGGACAAATTAATTATGGCTTAAAGTTGCAGTATGATTGTTAAGATTGTTATTCGATCTCTGATTAATGGTTTGTATCATTGAAAAACCGACCATTTCAAAAGAAAAGCTGAACTTGCATGCAGCTTGAGTTTAGAATATAATTTTCACAATTTATAGTCAAATTTAGCGGTTTTGTTTTTCAACTTGTGGTTAACTGTAAACCAACAAGATTTGGGCTCCAAGTTGTAGAACTGACCGTTAAGGCACCGATAAGGCAACTAACGTTTTCTAATTTTTATAGGCAGGCAAAAGATGTTGGATGTATATTCACTCTGGTTCTCCCCTCTACAAAAGGGTTTTCTGCTGCAAGTTCGCTGTTGAAAATTTGATGCAAGTTCATTAACCGTTTTTACTTTGTGCAGGTAAGTAGGTAGTAAATTATATTTTACACATTTGTACCAATGCTTTGCTAAGTAACATCAAGGTAAATTATTGCCTTTTGTTCGGGACAGGAGCTCTGTAGATGGTTTCATTCTACCATGTTGAGCAAAGGAATATGTAGAAAAAACATGAATGTTCTTGAGGTGATGCAAGTACATCCTCGTCTTTTTTCTAAAAATTTATTTTCTGAACTGAAGAAAGATGCCCACAAGTAATATTTATTTTCTTCTGTATACTTATTCAGTATTATTTATGAAAATTGGTGGAAAAGTTTCACTTTTGGAAATGTTCATTGAATAGTAGTTACTGGGTTTGTATTTGGGATAGGAGCATTAGTTTCAAGCAAAAAAATCTAACAACTTAAATTTTCTTCTTCTTTTAATTGATCCCCTATGTCTCATCAAAACGATCAGTAGCATAGTGATAAATTGGATTATTAACTCCGTAGCTAGTAGATAACTCTGAATTTGAACGTCGGTCTGTGTTCGGCATTTCAGGATCATTCTCTTGAACTTCTGCAAAAGAATAGGAGTAATATGATGAAGAAAAAAATAAATACACTGCTTTGCTAAAAAGGAAAATTGTCGTACTTTAATATTTTGAATTGAACCCCCCCTTTTTTTGTTTTAGTTTGTAGCACTAAGAAGTGTATTACTGGTTTCAAGGCACAAGTCAAATGTTATTTTTTCAGTGTTTTAATTTTTCCCTTTAGCCAGTGGAATAATATTTATGCCATTTTTTCTGTCGGCAGTTTCTCTTTTTTTTGCATGATCCGTGTTAAAAGAAACTCATCACCTAAGTACAATGATCTCTCCAAAATAAGCCTTGCATTCTCTCTCCTCCAAAAGTTTTATTAATTAAGGAAATCTATTTGCCTCAATTTTCAGCAATGTACCTAAATAAATTGAAAATCGGCCCACTGGCCCCTCTGGAAGCTCTATTTTTCTGGACTGCTCTCCCATTAAGGTTGATCCAAAAATGCAACTCGGACTTGTGCACAGAATGATCGAACAATTTCGTCATGATCCTGTAGGCTGATGTGTGACCAATTCCATTTATTGCAGACAAAGATTCAACAATTTTATTGTAAGTAAGACAGCAGTTCTCATTGACAACCTCACCAATTGAAAAGCTTGCTTTATCATTGATGATAGCCTGCGTTCGTTTCAATTTTGGATTGTCATGCCCTTTTTTCAATATTCCTTGTATTCATTTTCCATTCGCCCATTCTGGCACTTTGAATTACAAACAACACTAATTTTCAGTGACTTTCATCGTGCTAGGCGCAGTCTATTGCATAAAACAAATGAAAAAGAAAAACCAAAAAACTTAAACAATAAACTTAATTTGGAAACATGCATCAGCAAAAACTCCATGAAGTCATTCTCTCAGTGCTCGCAAGTTGCAACACAATTAGAACCGAATTTAAAGCTTTTATAGATCAAATTATGATGTGTCAGTACAAAACTTGTAAGTAGCGTGAGTATTGATAGTGATTGCAGTAGATATGGTGGCTTCAGCAATCAAGAAGATTGCACTTTTGGGTCTGAATGTCAGTCTAGTGAAATGAACTTCATGGACCTAAATAAGTAGACCAATTTTCAGTTTCTATGTCTTTTATGTACTAAAAGTACTTAAAACTTATCCCTTGCCACAGACTTCCTCCACCGCTCATACTTTTGGGGGAAAAAATCCAGAACTTTCGATACAAGTTCTTCATGTGTTACAGGTATGATTTATGATTTAAAATCTCCTGTGAAATTCTATTAGGAAAGTAATGTCCAGGAAAGCCTCATGTAGTTCTATACGCACTGCATCAAGTTCATCACAAGGTTGTAAGCATCCACTAAGTATACAAAGGAGGGAGTTGATGAATAAACAAAACCAAAATCATGCATAAAAATAAATATGTCATGCACCTGAGAAAAAGGGGACCTCAGGTTAAATTCCAAACTATTACTTACCATAGTCCAAAGACCCTCTGGAAAGTGAACAAAATTCCTAACACGATTACATGTAGAATGCTTGCTACCATAGTCATAAACGCAGGTTTCAGCATACAGTAACTTTCATTAATCAATAACCTTGGAGGAAGTGGTTTCAGGCAACCATGAGTGATGTCTTTAGCATGCTTGAAATAACAAATTCAAATTTTTAGCCCAATTTTTCTAGGTTTCTCTGTTTGGGAAACACTCCAAAAAAGTTCTCGGAATTCTAAGCACCTATTGTCATCGCCAGTAACTAATTTGGAAGTATTCAGAAACTTGCTTCTTGGATATTCAGATGAAGTGCATCAGTAGAAAAAGTGTGAATTCAAACAAGATAAAGCATAATTTCTCTCCTAACATTTCCAAAGAAAAGGCTCTCTAGGCTGTAAGTTTGGAGATCAACTTCTGAACAAGTGCAAAAAGTGCACTAACAATGATCACCTTGAAGAAGAATTGTTTTTATTTGTGTATCGCCATTGAAGCGATGTCTGCTGTTAGCCCTCACAGTCTTTCTCAGGAATCAATTTCATGCACGAAACACTGCAATGAAACCGGTACCAATACACCATTGCAGTTTAGCTGTCAGCAGTCGTGAAGGAAAGTCTCTGGCTCTTGTTCAATTCAATTAACAACTTTATTTTTATTTTTGTAAACTTATATACCATAAAACATTGTTTTGAGTAGTTTTCTCAGAAATGTTCTAATATTCTAGCACCAAAAACTCAAACTGCTACATCATCAGGGTCAGGAGAAAGTGCTTGCAGACATTAGTATTCAAAATTAATGTTTTTGAGCTTGACCCACCATTTTGAAATTTCTTCAGATTGGAAAAATACTCACCTCTTCGTTGTCGGTTCCCAAACCTACTGTACGGAGAAGGTGCAGAAGGGCGTGCAGACATAGATACAGCTCTATTTGTATTCATGCTTTCAGCTGTCCAACTTTCCCAAGGGTGCAACACAATGTCAGGCGTGCGTGACATGCTAATACGTTCATAGTCAATCTTTGTGTATGGATTTACAGCATAAGAGATCTCAGATTCTTGGTGAGGTCCAAGGAACGAGCTCATTGGGAAGCGCCTTCGGTAATCCATGTTACTATTGTAGGAGGAGCGTAAATTTCCTTGGAAAAACTCAGCTTTCTCCTCTTGACTAGGTATATACGAGACTTCGGCTCGATGTTGATGTCTATTTTCTCCTATAGGCCATGTGTCATCCTCATACTCAGGGACTGAAGGTGCTTTTTTAAGTTTGTCGTCAAAGTTTTGGCCCAACTTAAACATTGAAGTTGATTTGTTATTTTTTTTTCTACAGTCTGAGTTGCTGTCCATATTGGATGCAATCCGTGAAGATGTCGAGCCAGCATGCTTTCCTGGTGGTTGGTTCCCATGTGACTTACCGCTGTCGTGGAAGAGGGTTTTCTCCAGGACCATTATTGGTGATTCAAAAAGAAGAGATAAGATAGTTGCCAATACAATGCTGATAATAATGTCACCTATTGTCTCATGGAACTGAAATGAAACAAAGAACTATTGAATCAGGAACAGCTCTAGAGGTATATTTTCTCAACTTTTTCTTTAAAACTTTTGCTCATACTTTCATGAAAATTTCAAAGATTCCTTTTGATGACAAAAGAAGTATTGGACTAATTTATCAAGTTATTCTTTCCATTCGTTTTTCTGTAAAAAATTGGACAAGTTTGAGAAATTTTGCAGCACAGTACCTGAGCTTAAATGGCGCCTTTGATATTTTGTCTGGAAGGTGACGATACCACGCACAGTCACTTTTCCTGATATTTTGAACCCCTCCCTCTCAATATCAGGCTATGTAGCAAAGAAAACTTTTCTCTCCAAATTTGAAAAAAAAAAAAACCCTGAAAAAGTGCTAATCCCATTTTTCCTCTTTTTTACTTCATTAATATTGAAAATGATTTGAAACTGAGCTTGCTTATTCACAAATAGCTGAGTGTAAATCATGACTTTTTCAAAGGCTCACGATTTCTCACCAAAAGTTTTGTATTAACATTTGAAAAGTCGAAATGGTACCTGGTAAGTACCATTAAATGTTGCCAACATTGTGCAACTGTTTCTCTCTTTGAACAGGAATCTAAAGGCCTGGGAAAACATTTTTTGTTATAAAAATGAGACCAAAATTTACTCCTACTACTACTTTAAGCAAAAGCAATTGGTTTTTTTTTTTTTTTTTTTTTTTTTTTTTTTTTTTTACAGTAAGGAACACCATGTACATGTATAATCTTAGCAACATTTGATGACGATTACGAGGTTATGATTTTCCATTTTTCAATTCTTTAATTGGATCCATATCTCTCAAATTTTTCTGGTGATGTGTGGGGGAAAAAAATGAAAAAAAGGTTACCGTATCATAGGCACTGATGTAAGCAGGCTGCCTGGCTGTACCTAGTTTGTGAATGATCACTACAATGTGAGTGAGATAAATGCAGTATGTCAATCGACCCAACGGCATGAAAAATTTATTCGACAAGAAACGGTTGACAACTCCTGTAACACAAAGAAGTAAAACTTAGAATAAGTCAAAGTTTTTGAAAAGTAATTTCACTAGAACTGTGTTTTACTTCCAATTTTTTAATTCTATTTTCTCTTAATGATTAGAGATGAAGTGTGTCTACAGAAATACTTCGTTATTTGTGTCAGATTCAAGCTTACTTTGCCATCGAGAAGAAGTTTCCATTTATTTTATGTAAACATTGGTTTTTGTTCCTCTCAAAATAGAAATGAAAATTTAGAGAAAAAATCATAATTTCAAAATGTTATTAGGTGCATAAATTTATTTGTTTCTATTTTTTTTAGAAGTAGTAGTGACAGCTTCAATAAGGCTGTCTTAAGATTTAGGGATCCCCTTGAAACTAGGTGTCTGAAGTAAGTAAGAGCAAAAAATGCCCCTCTGAACTTTTGAAAGCTCAAAACAGATTTTTTGACCTGAAAAAAGGCTGAAAGTTGAAGTTGTATAAAGGGCGTTTCTCATCAGCCTGCAGCTTACGATGTTGTACCAAGTGATGACCCATGGTTTCAACAACCTTGAATCCAATGCACCATAAACGCTGTGCAATTCAGATCACCCACAAACGTTTTCATTCAGAGAAAAAGAAACAAATATTTACGCCCAACAGCAATTATATTGCAAGTACCATCGCAATACATAACATTGTGTTACTATTGCAACCCGAAAGTAAATAAAAAAATGATAAAAGGCGGTCAATTCTTTGTGTGACGTCAGGAGATCCATTGGCACCATATTATTCTTTTAGAGACAGGGTAGGATTTTTGGTGACTTTGGAAATCTTCTTCTTAGCTACAATTTGATAACATGAAAAATTAAAAAATGCAGGCATTCTTACTTCTTACGTACTTCCTGAAAACAGGAAAAAAAAGAGAAAAAATTGTGCAACAGCTATGTTGTCAAGAAAGTTGTATAGGATGCTAAGGTAAGGAAGCAAAAGTAATAAAAAAAAATACCATTTTTATGAAACGTTGAATCTAAGATAATCCAGGCAACACCAATAGCCCATGCCAGGCGATGAACAGCAATATAAAATGAGGAATAAAACCACAAATATGGGACCTCCGGTTGAAACATCCAATAACAGAGGAAAAGTGCTGACATCATCATACTTGTTGTTATGATCCAAATGAATGCTCTCCGCAACTACTTTAAAATAGATACAAAGTGGTACTTTAGAAAAAATTGATTAAGTTTCTCCAGCTTGGAAAAAAAATATGTAAGGTAACAAGTAATTTTGATGGTAAAATGTTTAAGGCTAACGTTAAAAATGTATACCACCATTGCAATACCTAAAAATTTCCAGTCATGTTTTATTTATTTTGAAGAGAATCAACCAAAATGTCTCCCAAGAATTTTCTGTCACTTTTTTTTTAAATGAGTGAGGGAAATTGTTAGAAACTCAAAAGAAACTGTATGCTGTTTTTTTCTTTTGATAAGAAAAATAAAACATAAGCACCGACTTAAAAGGATGCAATCGGATTTTCAAATTGTTTGACTTCAGTCATCAATGTGTACCTACTTTAATTGTTAGATATTTGCCTACCATGTCTGATTATTCATTTATCTTTGCAGGGGTGTGAAGATGCAAAGAAGCACCAGAGATTTGGAAAGATGGGAAATTTTCAAGCTCAACATGTCAAAAGTCAAAAAGAGAAAAAGAAAAAAAGTCATCTCTTTTGAAATTGGTGAGTTATTTCCTGGAAAGCTAATTTAAAAAAATTGAAAAGGGAATTAGGAAGCACATGAAAACCTGGAATCCTGGAAGATTCTGCAACCTTGCTCCTGATAAGAGATGTCTCTTCTCATCCTGAGTTCAATCTTTTAACATGAAGCACAATTTTCGATGATTTAATTTCCCTGTTTCCAATGCAAAACTTGTTTGTATTCAAAGTTTTTAATCAGCAATTTAACAAGGAAACAGTATAATACTTACCAATACTAAAAATCAAGTTTTGCAAAAAGCAAAATTTCATACATTTATCAGATAACATTCCTTTATTCAGAGGCATTTGATTTTTTAAAATTTTTCGAAGAATATGTTTTATTATATGTATTTGATTTCTATCCAAGTTTTCAATATAAAGTTAGTTTTTAATAATTTCAGAGTGATTTTGTCAAAGAGCCTTGTTTAAGTTTAAGACAGAAACTTAACTTAAATAGAGCCTCTTTTTAGGCGGAAGAAAACAGTTGCTGTCAGAAAATGGCACAGTAATTGATCATCAACTGCTTTATCTGCTCAATTTCAATGAACCTGAAAGTATTATTTTTCATCTTCTCTTGAGATGGAGAATTTGCATGCAAATGTTTTTTTGCTTCGTCTGAAAGTGCCTAAAGAGCTGATTTCACTGTATTTTTTATGATTTTTTCTGATATGGCAAATAGTATAAAAATAGATTTAAAATTGAGAAAATGCACAGCCTAGTGATGTCATCTGGCGGCATTTCCCATTTAAACACATGTATTTTAGCAGATTAGATCATTTTGTCATATTTTCTCCAATAATTGTTCAATTCATGAACCAAGGGTATCCTCGAGTTCAGTTCACTCAGTAGTTTCCACTTAAACACGAAATTTCATCAAATTTCAGACACCTGCAAATTCTCTATTATTTTGTAGGTAAGAAAGAATTAAGTATACCGTAAAACTGGTTACTAAATTTTCACTCCATTTTCCTGTTTTGATGCGATGTAAAATGTAGCCCGCAGTTATTCCAACCAAGTATGACGAAGTCCTCATGTGAGTTGGGAAATAACCAACTGCCATTTCTCTATCAACCCGTTCCATGCTATCCAAAAAGACAAGTAAAAGTTTTTTTAAGTCAATGTGAATTAAACTAGGTAAATGGATGAATAACAGGGTGGTAGAATAGTGCTTGGTTCGCACTATTCTGAATTAAAATCTAGAAAAGTGTAACATAGAAGCAGTTGCATTGGAGATGCTCTGCTGAGGTCCTATCCTAAGACTGATACCAGTTTCACTCTTTTTGGAAATCCATAGTGAAATACACTCAATTGGGACCCAACTCAGCCACCTGCAAAATCCTTTACGACAATATTTATGAATAAATAAGTATATTAGCAGTTGATAGATTGCAGAGTGATACTTTAGAATACCTGTGACACAAAGTGCAAGATTCAAAAGTATGAGTAAAGATATTTTTTGAAGAGAATATTCTATGCATAAAATTTAACTGGCTCCGGGCGTTTAGAAAATGTGGGATCACATCTCTCATCAGAAGAAGCAGGGTTAGTTAGGACAGCCTCAATTTTTTTTTAGACCTTTAGGAAAAACCATGGCATTTGGCGATGGATCACTAGACTGGGTACAGTCTGAGTAAAAAAAATGCCCAGAATAGAAAGTAATCTTGGTTTTTTTTTTTTAACAAAAATTATTAATTTGAAAGAAATATAATTATATGGATTTTATAACTGTTCATATATTTTTTAGTTTTTAAAGCAAAGAGAAGTTACACTATTTTGAAAAACACTGCAGTTGTGTCGCCTCTTTTCTCCTAAGTGCGGTACAATTTTGGGCGGAACTATAATAAAATCAATTCAAGAATCCTTTGCAGAAAAACTTACTCTCTAGTAAGAGGTATTGGTGCTCGAATTTTTTCCTCATAACTAACAGCAAAAGGAATCGCAACTGAAACCCCCATCAGGATAGATAGGAGCATGAATCCAACCCATCTATAGTTTTTCAGAAAATACAGTAGGAAAATGGAAAGAATGTACAGCTGTGTATCAGCACTCAAGTACCAGCTTTGCATCATACACTGTCAAGAAAAGAGAGAAATAAGATGCTTTAAAATTACGCATGTAAAAATATGTCATTTAATTGAAGGTAACTTGCACATGCATTTTGCACTTTCTACTTCTTTTCCACATGGTAACTGCGTATCGACAGTAGAACATGTTTTATCTCCTCTATCAGTTTGTTCCTGTTCTTTTTTTTCCCTGTCTTTTTACGTATTAGACTGCATTTTGCAATTGGAAACTGTAATTTCTGCGGGAACTATAATTTCTGGCTCATCTGTAAAAACATGTATGTGCATAAGAAAACCAATGGTACCCATGTTGTTTCTAAACTGACCCAGAAATTGCATAATGAAGTCCAGTTAGAATAGCTTGCCAGGTTTGAAACTTCAAGTATTGCAAACACAATTAGAAACGAAAATCATAATATACATTGATTTTTAGCGTCAAGAACTAAGGTAAAATTTGCGCTGTTTTGACTGTCATGATATCAGGTTTAACAGTCAACAGTTACAATAAATAATAAGTATTTTCTATTTTTTTCAGGTGGCGCTAATGCTGATCTCAAACAATCGAATAATCGCGTCAAGTTGTTCTTTTCTGCTTGGGTTACTGAGAGGCTTTAGCTTTGAAAGTGGGGGCAACATTTGGCTCAGAACGCTAGTTGTCCCATGTTTTTGATATTAAAATACTACCAGGTAAACCAGAAAGTTGGATGTTGCTAATATTTTTTTACTTTTTCTTCCTTTCATACTTTCCTTTCTTGTGTGTCAAAGTAATACACTCAGTTCAATTAACTGTAACTTACTAGTTTTTCAGTATGATAATAGTTATTAAAATACAGTAAGTTTGTCCACCAATACTCCTGGCATGCTTCTTTCTCTTGGCCAGCTAACTGCTCCCACAAAGGACCATCCCCCATCTTGTAGAATATTGTGGCTGTAAATGCTATCATGGCTGCATACGCTGGTGTTAACCTTTAAAGTAACATTAATTTAAAGACATTTTTAAATCTTGATCTGCTCATCAAAAATGTAATGAAATGAACAAATGTGATGATTAAGACGCAAATTTTAGTCTCTCTCCTCGTTTTTTATACATTTCTTTCAGTTAGCTGAGATCCTTTAGGACTATTAAATTATCTTTGAAATATCTTTTAAACTCAAAAATTAATGCACTCCCTGAGTACACAAAAAATCTGTATTTGTCCAGTCAAATAGGAATTTTACCATGCTTGTTAGCTCTGTTTCTTTAGTGTTCCCTTCATAATTTTTTATACTAAATTGAATTTCAACAATGCCCAAAAATTTTGTGCTGTGAAATTGCCAATTTTGGCAAAAAATGGTCTAAACACAAGCAAAGCTGCCGCTATGCATCGAAACGTAAATTGGTTCACTATGCATGACAGGCAAAAGTAAACAAATGTCAACTTATTTGACTTGAATTTTAGTAGGAATATATAGTAAGCAAGATAAAACACTAAAAAATGGCCCGAAACTGTATGTAACAAGGTAGAGAAATGGTGCAGGGTCCACACCATTCTGTGGGAGAATTAAAGCCGAGAAATTCTAATAATTACAATTAGAGTCAAAATATTTTAACTCTTATGAGTACCAGTACAAAAATATGGGGGATGAGTGTTCAGCTCAGGCAGTCTGCATTGGAATATTAAGTTGAGGTCCCGCCGAGAGATCTATAATGTTTTGGATCTTTTCAGACCTCATCAGTAGATCACAATCGTCAGTGAACCCAACTTAGCATCCCGGAAAATCCAAACCAACCATGTACTGGTACTCATTAGCGTTAAATTTTTCTGACTCTAATTGTAATTTTTGAAATTTCTTGGCTTTGATTGCCTGGCAGAATGGCATGGACCCAGCACCATTTCTCCATAACATAAGGTAAGATAGCTTTAAGGTTAATTACTGTCACCAATCCAATTCAGAAAAAGTCGCAAGAATTTTGACTTTCTTTTATTAACCTGGGACTATGCACTAATTCACTTGTACAAATTTCTAGTTTCAGGAATGCTGCAGTTCCAACAACAGATTCACAGGAATTTCCCGCTTGCCAAGGGAAATGGAATGGGTGGTTCGTAGGACAGACTACACAACATGAAAGTAATACAGGTAATCATAGGAAGGAAAAAGGAGGCGTGGCCGGAGCTCAAAAGATGGACCACTGAAATAGGGGCAAGTGTTGCACTGGTACAGGAGCCGTATGTCAGAAACAACGGAGAGCCACCCGAGTGGTGCAGCGGAGTAAAAATCATGTATGATAGGAGTAGAAAAGGGACAGGGCCGGTGAGAGCCGCTGTGTACTTGTTTGACTCTAGGATTGAGGCAATGGTAAATAATAGACACACAAATAAGGATTGTGCAACAGTATAGCTGGAATGGAAAGATGAAAAGCACCTAAGGAATAACCACCCAGGCCTAGGAGGAGCATGGTTACGGTCATAATTGCAGGTGGTAACGACGTCGACATGGAGAGGAGTGCCAAAGAAATAGTGGACAGCATGAAGATAGAGGAGCTAAAAGCACATGCTACAAGGAGAAAAGGATTCATCATCTGGGTGGAACTGTTCCCGAGATTTGATCAAAGTGAGGAGTTTAATAGGAAAGTGAGAGATGTGAGCAAAAGGATGTCTAAAAAAATTTATCAGAAGGAGAACAACACATAGAAATGTAGCCGTGCTGAGAAGCAGGCACCTGGGAAGAGAAAACTTCACAAACGATGGAACGTTGTCCAATAAAGTTTGAAGATAGACCCGGGTGCGACGGTGGTGGCTCCGCACACAGGTTAGGATTGAAGAATTTCCGAACAAATTTAAGGTTTAAGGTGTAATTTTAAAAAGTTGTAGCATTTTATAATTGAAATCCAGGCATCGTCCCATGGGAGATGGTTGGGAACTTTTATGTACAATAGAGGGGCTGGTCCAGACCTAAAGGTGTTTTGTAACCCGAGCGCCAAGTTTAACGAGGTTACTTGCAATGCTAGGCCTCGGAGGAGCGTGGTAACGGTGGTAATAGCCGGGGGTAATGATGTGGACATGCAGAGGAGCGCTAAGGATATTGTGGACGCCATGAATATAGAGGAGCTGAAAGCACAGGCCACAAGGAGGAAAGGGTTCGTCATTTGGGTGGAACTCTTCCCGAGGTTCGATCAGGGGGAGGAATTTAAGTTAAAAGTTAGAGAGGTTAGTAGACGGATGTCCAAAAAATTGATAAGAGGAACAACAACACAGAGAAATGTAGCAGTATTAAGAAGTAGGCACTTAGGGAGAGGGAACTTCACAAGCGACGGAATCCACCTGAACGAAACCCGTAAATCGAGGTTAGCGGATAAGCTGTACTGGCTCTATGACCAAGGTTATGAGGCGGTTGAGAGTTTTGACCAACTGGAACTCTGACTCTAGTCGTGGAGTCGGTGCAGCTTGGCTGCAATGTGTTACTAATCTGTAGATCTTTATGTTCCAGGGTGTATGCAGTCCAGCGCAGGGGGGTTGGGAGAGAAGGGGAAGAAGAAAAGGCAGAAGGGAGGAGGGAAGAGTAGCAAGGGCAGATAGGAAAGGGGAAGTGGGGAAGTGGTACCAGTGGAAAACATAGTTGTGAGAAAACCGCATTTTAAGTTTGAAGAACTGCATTGAGGACTTACATTACTTTTGCATACACACCAGTATGCAATGATGATAGAGAGCTCTGTTCCTTAAAATGGAATTTTTATTGTCAACTCCTGACAGGTATCAGGTATCAATATTTTTATCTAATTATGCTTTGCGAAACATATTGTAAAATGTTTCAAAACAGGAACGAGTCAACTCATCTGACTATAATTTCCATATTTTGCCACACATGTATTATTTCACTGTATTAGTTCAGAGAGACAATTTTTTTGTTTTTGAATGTGATTATAAATTTCCAATTCCAAACCTACCGTAAATATCTCTTGACAAGACTTGAAAGCCATATGGTTGTGAGTGAAGATCTTTTATTGACAAAGCCGAGGAAAACGTACGCGTTTAATAAACCACTGATGACAAAAAATGTATCGACAGCCAGTGTTGCATTTAAAATTGCCATTGTAGGCCAGTTTTTTATGAACTGCAATCAGAACTTTTCATTAGTTTTGGTACAAGTGTGTTCATTATATAATTCTTGCTAAATTCCTCTAATCATATATCATTCAATTTTTTAAGGCTCTGAATATTAAATAACAGCGAAATTTTGAATCTTCATACTGTTCATTACCTATATCAGCAAATGAGCCAAAATATTAGTTGATTTAGATCCAGTTTTACTCTAACCTTTAATTGTCGTAACTCTCGTTGAATTGTATTCCATCTTATCAATTCAAAATACAGCACTGACTTAATGCAAGAATTACTTGTAATTATATGCATTTTAGCCAAGTAATTGAATTTGAATTTATCAGCCCAAAAATGCTGCAACTCTGATAGATAAGTATGTAATTTGAAAAAAAAAAGATAAAGAAAAACCGATAATAGGTGATAATTTATAATGATTTGAAAATGTCCTTGATCCATGTTGTGAAGCTATTGCGGTGAAACAAATTGGCAGTGGCACCATAGTTTGTGCTATTTTTTTCTTGGGAAGTGCGAAACCAAGTATCTCTGTTTGTAAAGTTGCAGACTGTCTGCCATACTTTATCTCTTTTTTTTTGGAAAACTATTGATTGGAAAATTAGTAATTTCTTGAAAACTGAATTAATTTTTCTTTGCTGTCTGCAGATTTTTCTGTACTTTCTAGCGCAAAATTTGGCTTGTTTGTCCTAGAAAAAATAAAATGGTAGCACAAATTTTGAAGTACTGCAACGGAGATATGTGTTTTCGTACCTTAGGTGTCGAACTACTGTTTACTATGACAAAGAATAAATTGCACAGATGAGGACATTGATGCGGGAGGAAGTCTCCCTTTTTTCCTCCAACATTTCGTCAAGTTTGTTCAATATGGTATTTGAATCAGTGAGAACGAAAACACACCAACTCGGAAAAATGAAAATAATCAAGGCACACACAAAGCTGCAGAATAGATGGAGAAGTTATTTTAAGAAAAAAATTTTTGCTGCCAAAAGACAAGCACTTATTGACACTTTAAAGGTCCAAGTTGGAACATATGCGTTAACTTCAATGACCTACATGTAAATTAACTGTCTTTGATGGAAATTGAGCATTTTCGAGTTACCGAGGTGGTGTGTTTTTGTTCTCACTGATTCATTTGTGAGTACATGTTTTGTGAATTTTGTTAGAGGATATTGGCATAGTTTGATTTTTCTTCAAATTTTAAAATATCTTTCCTTTCATATATATTTTTATTATATTTTTCTATATTTCATTGCATTCAGTTCCATCATCATACCTGAAGCAATGAAGTGAGGTTTGTTGCAGGCAATTGAGCAGTGTATTTGACTCTATGTCCTAAGCAGACCCATGTTATACTGAGAAATCGCAAGCCATTAATGCAAGAAATTGTGTCTGGTTGAGAATCGGTGTTGAATAATCTTTGAGCATTTGAGTACGCCGAAAAAGCCAAAATAGCCCTTGGTCCTTTATTCAAAGCTGTAAACATAGAAGAAGAAAGCCATATAAAGTTGCCTTATTTTTGTTTCATCACTAGATTTTTCGGTCAGAATTCTGGGTCATGCGGCCAAGTTGTTATGCAAGTGTTCAAGATAGCGATACCCCAGTTATTGTATCTCTTGCAATTAATTTTCCTCCTAATAATATATTGGTGTTTTACTATTTGTATCAATTCATCATTTTTACTCTAATCAGCATTGGTAAGATGTTTGCCCTGCAGGCTATTTTTGAAGGGGGACTGATAAATTTTTAGTTAGGCTCGCAGTCATATGTACTTTTTTGCAAACAATGATCAATTAAAGTCATTTAAAAGTGCCTTTTTTTGTTTTTGGATTTCTATAAACACTCTGTATCATGAGCCTAGATAGACATTGTGTGGATGTTTCAAGCCAGGTGCTGTCAAAATAATAGCAGTCCGCCCTTATTCATTCGTAATCGTATCATCAGCAGAAAAAATACATTTTAATAAAAAGTATTTTTATTCTGTTTGAACTTCTTGAATTTAAGTCGAAGTAGAAGAGACTCACTTGAGTAACAGGGTCCACGATAAGATCTCAGCCAAAGATCGAAAATTGTGCTCAAGATAACAAAAAGTATTATCATACAGAATACTGCCCTACAGAAAAAAGGAAAAGAAAATATTAGTTGCAAGATCGTGTAACTTCTTCAAATGTATGATATACTATATAGTCCAGGATTACAAAAGAATACATTTTATCATATAAATTGGGAATTCAGACGATTATGATTCTTTTTTAAGCTTTTAATGCTTTTAGTTTTTTGGAAACAAAACAAAATCTTTGGCACCCAACTTCATTTTAGACTTTTCAGGATGTGCATGAAAGTTTCCAAAAAAATTAGGATATGAACGAACAACCAAGCTCTCACTTTTTATAATTATCTCTTCAAAGGAAGAACATTTTCCTCTTTTTTTTTCCTTTCTCTTTTTCAAAATTGCAAGTTGCTTATGTTTTCTCAAATAGGGAGTAAAACTGACAGGTTACAAATTCTTTTTGATTAGAATGCATGAAATATTCATCGTGAAGAGAATCAAAAGCACCAGGCAAATGGCTATTCACTCCTCTGCTAGCAAGGTTCTGAGATTCAAAACCTTCTCTAATTTTAATCAAGCAATCCTTGATTTCATGTCTCTATGTTTCCTTAAGGAAATCATTTTAAAAAAGATTAAACTTACAAAACAATGTAATCACCAATGCTAAATTGTAATGCACTTCGAATATGACAGTCCGTATCGGGAATAGTGACCCGTAATGTAATAGGGATGCTTGTCTCATTCAGCCAGGGATTCACTCGGTCTAAGAGATTATTAAATGCATGTTCCATTGCCGGTGGTTTGCAAGAAGATGGCACGCACATGGCAGTTTTTAGAACTATATTTGAGCCGAACATATCCTCTGCTGTCGATCCTGTAAAACCCTTTTTTCCAATGAAAAATTAAATGTCAATATTTTACCATAAGGATCTAATAATGGATATAAAAAACAGTTAAACTTAGCAAGGAAAAAAAAGAAGGTTGTCTGAAATGTTCTGTCAAATTTTACTGTTATCACAAAAAACTAATAATATCATTGTAAAACACATGGAGTGTGTTTATATATTCTTTGTACCAAACACAACATTTTGGAGACATCAATTTAGTTCGATGTATTTTTAGCACATATTCTCTCGCCAGAATCTCTTCGTCATCCTTTCAAATTTTAAGGAAGAGCCATAATGAAAAAAAAAAGAAAGAAAGAAAGAAAGAAAAGAAAATCAAATTATCTCAGCTTGAAGCAAGCTAATTTAAGAACTTCAAAAATCGGTGTGAAAAGAGGAAGTAGCCCTCAGGAATAAGTGCAATTCATTTTTTGAGTCTTTGGGTCGATTGAATTTCAATCTAAAAATCCAAACCAACAATGCAAGGATTGCAAGGACAAAGCTGAAAAAATAATAATGAAAACGAGCTCGGGAAGTTCAGACCATGGCTAGCCATGCCTGGAAAACTGGCGTCCACTCCCATGCAAAAGTAGGTGTCAAATCTATATTGTCAGAAGGAAATTGAATTAAACTATCCCCCATTTCGCACTGCAGGCGTTATGCATTCATCGTTACTCCAATGATTTCATATTATACTTAGAGTAAAATCAGTACCATTTAGTTCTGGTATAGTAAGCCGTGATACTAGATAATGGTGGCAGTAATTGTGCATAGGTAGTTTTTGGGACTTCTTTTTTTTTATTATTATTATTTATTTAAGCTCCATTCACTATGAATGGATTAACAATACAAATGTAGGTAGGTGAGTATAGGTGCGAGGTTTAGAAGCTGTAATTAGTATTGGTTTGAATGAACTCACAAAAATTATTTCAGGAGGAACTTCTATAACTAAGGACACGAGACAGTATTGGCCATGAAATGGTGTTGATTCATTCATTTCGCTTGAAGTGGATACGCATTGGTCATAATCTCCCAAGTTGATAATGTTGCCATTTAGTAATCCTGTCGGAATTTTTCCACTTGAATCCAAAACTGTAACAGTCAAAAATACCTAAAATAATTTATTTCTAATGTTTGACAATATCAAGATGCCATGCAACAGAAAAGTTAAGTGGGGTAAAGATAATCCCAAGAAACTCCAAGTGTTTTCTCTGTTAAGATGACATTATTCAAGCATTCGAGCTTCTTAACTCAGTCTCGTCAATTCTTATTCATGACAAGTGAGCTTTTCTTTCTTATTTCTTACTTTTTACATTTTTTGTCCCATTTAATTGATGTTGGAGAAAAAAATATTTTTCAGAAATTATTGTTAGCTTTCTGTATTTTATACCCAGAAAATTCAAAGGAACTTTGATAGTGAGAAGAAAACGTCTACTTAATCTATAGCTAGACAAAATGCGGCAATAGATTTTTCTCACTTGTAAAGCTTTTTGCACTTCAGCTTCGGGTGATTATTTTCTAACTGATATCTGGCTTTGAGCCAAGCGTTACGATAAATGAGGCTATCCACCCTTAGATAAGAACCCTTAGAGCCTAAAACTTTACATCACCACTGCATAGAGGACTTTTTTCTCCGTACAACTGCACAGAACAGCAAACGCCACAGCAAAATGGATACAAATCAACGTGCTCCTAGGTCGAGAAATTGCCTACTCGTAAAACTTGAAGGCGTTTAGTCTAACGCGGTGACAGTATGCTTGTGTTTCAAAGTATCGATTCTGAAGTAGAATGATTTCGTCGAAAGCGCAAATTTTATCGTGCTTGATGAATCAAAGGGTTGTTGAAGAGCTGTCAAATCGCAGAAATTGACGTAGTTTCCTGGGAAATAGCAGTACTTACCACTTACGCGTACTTTGTCCTCAAACAAGGAGCTTATCACGATCATGAAACCCACTTTGGCCTCAACTGGTGAATCAGGACGGCGAAAAATGGGTGGAGTGAACGGTATAAAATTGGTATTCGTAAACGGTATGAAAAATTGAGTAGTCTGCTAAAGCCGTAGTAGTGCGTACTTTGACTCGCGCATGGTTTTGTTTTTCTTGTGACCGGGTGATTCAAAGTTCCCGTAACCAATGAACAATAAAAACGTTAATATCTTATCAGGAAGTTGATTTTCGTAGTTTTCGTTGCGCGAATCGTGTTCTACGTGAATTTCTGGTGAAGAATCATGCATCAAAGTGCTTGAATCCGTACCTTGTTTAATGATCCATTCATTCTAAAAAAGCGAACATACAGAACTTTCCTAACTTTTCTGAGTGAAAATATTTTATCGGGAAAGACGAGGCAACGTTGGAGTGCTCAGACGGCGTCGAAAACCAGCATGGGCCTTTTAAGCCCGATCGTTCGATGCCGCGATTATCTTAACGCGAGTCTGAATAATCGCGCCAAACATGGCGCGGTCGACGTCAAACTCATATTAGCGCCTGCAAGACTGCAGGCATACTTCATGCATTGCCCCAAATAGCGCGGTCGGTTTAGACGCACGTTAGCGCCTACAAGACCGCATGAATACTTCTCGCATTGCACCAAACGCAACGCGAGAGTTATTTGCGATAACTATTCGACTATGGGGTGTTGGCCCACGGCCGCCGGCTGGATTGAAGGCGCATCACACTGAGAAGATGACTCGACACTCGACCAGTCTCCCTTCCCTGGTTTTGCGCGACGCTAAAATCGCCGCAAAACTAGGTCCACGCGTATCTTGTGACGATCCCTGCCCGGTTTTTACCCCACTTAAAGGGTGAATATGTATCTTAATTGCAACGATTTAGAAACTCGCACGAAGTTTAAACGATGCAGCGATTCTGAAACTTGAATCGCAGAAAATCAATTTCGGTTTAATAAAAAGAAAACAGAACGAACGAAAATATCGCGTTGAAATTTGTTGTGATTTTTATTTTAAACCATGCTGGAAATTTCGAAACTTCTAAAAAACTGTGAGTAACTTTTTTTTTTTTTTTAAAAAAAAAAAAGTTTAAAATTGATAGCGACAAAGTGACGGTGCAACTGAACAAAACTTTGAGATCTGATAGCGGTGAGCAGCAAAAAAAAAAGGCGCACAGTGGATCGAGTTCAGAAGAGAGGTTGGACATGAAAGTTTTGACTAAAGCTGCTTTAGATGTTTATTTCGTGGACTTTTAAAGTTTAAGGGATGCATTTCAAAGTAAATTTTACGAGAAAATCAATGGGACCTTTTTTAAGACCTCCAAATTTTGAAGTAATGGAGTAATGAGTTTAAAAAGCTTCCAAACTTTGTCCGACTCCTCCCACTGACTCAATCCACTGTGCGGCGTCAGGCGCCGTGAAAAGACAATACTATAAGGTTCCGTAACTGCAGTGTCATTCGGAAAAATCCAGGAAAATTCACGGCAACTAGAGGTGGTTTCTACTTCAAACAACACAATATTTCAAAATTACTGAACGAGCTCATTTCTAGTTCCAAATGCGTATTTTAAAAAGCGCAATCTTCAACCACACGACGGGTGTTCACCGTGTTCAAGCACTGTGCAGCGTACTTCGTCTTTTTATTTGACTCCCACTTTTCCTGACATACCCCCGTGCATTGTGTTCATGTGGCCCAAACTTAGCGTTTCTTGTGAAGCTCGAAGCATTTCCTCCTTATTCTCATCGGCTCTTCAGTGTAATGTAGCTGCCGCCCCTGCGTTATGTACCACACTTTGCACCCTTTGAAGGAAAAGTTTACAAGTGTGTATTGTATGAATGATAAAAGTAGCAGTAAACATTGAAAAAAAAAGAAAGAAAGGAAGAAAGATCGTAATCGCACTTTTTTCTAAGAAATAGCTACTTCAATGGCTCCAGAGATACTTAGGTAGGTTTACGGTTGGTACACAAGGAAAAAAAAACTGCGTGCATGGAACCCGAAGTTGAGGTCAAATGGATCTCTGAAGTTTTCTGATCACGCATCCGAAAACTTGAGGTCGAGCTGCCGAAGTTCGGGTCAGACATCTGAAGCACTTCGGTATGCACCGGAGTACTTCAGATGTGTGACCCGAACCCTTCGGTATCTATCGAAGTACTTAGATGTCTGGCCCGAACTTCGGCAGCTCGTATGTACCTCAACTTCTTAGATCCGTGATCCGAAAACTTCAAAGATCCATATGACCTCAACTTCGGGTCCCACGCACGAAGTTTTTTTCTCCGTGTACATTTCTTACTGAGCACCAAATCGTGTGGGAACGCCAAGGATGGACCTTTTCTACTTTTGCCCCCAAGTAGCACAGATTGCAATAAGTAGCAATTGCATAGTAAAAATATTGCAATTCGACTGAGTGTTGTGTATGTTGCCTAGCTCCTATTAGAAGGGGTCCCACTTATTGAAACTTACTGCAATAAATAAGTTGCAATCTTTCATAGTATTGCATATTGCCTATCTTTCTGACACATGGAGCTCATTTTGTTGATCGTTAAAAATCGGCATAAATCGACTAAATGATGCAAAAATATTGCAATTTTATTGAAATCAAATTGCAATTTAATTTCAATATTTTCATTGCACTGTGCTACTTGGGCCCTTGAGTTATCAATGAATATTTATGAGAGTAATGAAAACTTACATTTCATGGCCCACAATCTCTTCCTCATGAGACCGTCGATGATGTCGTCCAAGTTGTCAATGCAGACAGCATTATCATCGGATAGGACGATGGATGGATCTTTGCCGTTGGGGGGCGCCATTCGCAAGTATTCTTTGAAGCTGGTCATGGTGTCGAAGTGAAGGAGCTCTCTCCTCAAATGCGTCACAGTGTCCATCAGCAACATACTTCTGCTCTGCAGAGATAATTTCGGTGGGTTACTCGGTGCCGTTGCGGAGTGCTGATTTTCCCCAGCGATGCTCAGAATCATCGCAGCAAATGTCAAGGAGAACAGTCGCACAGAACACCATTCCATCGCAGCGTAGTAAAGTTTGGGAATTAGGAATTTTGAGTATTTTCGGAGAAATCTATTCGCCGTACATGAAAAAGCACCAGTGTTGTTACACTATGGAACGTTATCACATTCGTGACCACGGCCGAAATTTAAAACAATCATTATCCATGACCGCAAGAGCAAATTGCCATTGACATAAGCGCGCCTTCAAGAAATTAGGGCGATAACCCGCAATGACGTATCCGACAACTTACAATGATAGGTGACCCGACAATAATGCCAAGACACTGAGAAATTGACGTATGCATCGTACGAAAAAGTTCCTTCTCTGGCACACCTCACTTCATTGAAATGTTCAGCTAAAACCAAATGAAAATTTTCAAGTTTCAATTAAATGATTGGACCGCGTTAAGTAGAAAGGAACTAAGCCGCATCAGCCATGCTTAATTTAATTGAGCAACTTAATTTTTTACATCAAACGATTGTGCGGATTATTTTGCAAATTGCAGTGAATTTTTCGCGTAGTAAGTACAAAGAAAACTCCTGAAAATTTTCAAAGGAATCCGCACAAATACGTTCTCTTGTAAAAAATTGAAGTGTCTAGTTACTTAAATTTGGTAATAGCTGATGTGGTTGAAAGTCCTTAATCCAAAAATCGCTTGCCAGCAGTGGCGTGGCTTGATAAAAAGTAAAGGGATACTATTGTCGAGTTTTTTGGAACTTCCGTATATTCTATAGTCGTATATTCTTTCCAAAAACCCCTCCCCATTTACTAATATCAGCACAATTTGATTGCATTCTCCAAAAAGAAACCGCAAAATCATTCCAATGTCGCTAAGATTGTGCAATTCTTTTATTACCTTCCAAATATTAACTGATCGTCCACACAAGTTTTATCTTTACTCCCGATAAGCTATGAATTGAATATTCAAAATTAATGATTTAAAGGTATAAGGTCTAAATATTTATGTATTCTAAAAAGAAAGAAAGAAAAAAAAATCTGTCACGTGAAGCTGCAAAATTATTCGTAGAACTTCACGAGTAAATTTCCATAAGCGGACTAAATTTTGCAATCAGGAACTACGATTTCTGGCTTATTAGTAAAAACATCCATGTTGTAGGGAAAGCTAATGGTGCATACGCTGTTTTCAACTGAGCCAGAAATTGTAGTTCCTCGTTGCCAAATGTAGTCCATATGTAGTGCCATTCGTGCCTAAGAGGTATCTTCGTAGTATAAACGAATAATTCATGGCGCTCTGTCATTTTGGATCCTCGCAGATCAGCCCGCCGCGGGTGAAGCGGTGAGTGCCGGGAGAGCCAAAGCGCCTTCAATTCCATGCGTAGGCAACATGGACATCCGTGAGGCTCGAATAGTTGCATGCATCCAGGGGTTTTAATGAAATCTTGCGATACTAACTAAGGGTGCGTAAGGAGTTGACGTCTAAGTGCGAAATTTTCTAAGAACATACAATTTTCGATCCGGCCTTTATTCATTCGTATAAAATCCTAGTCAGGGCTTCAACAAAAATTATGTATATGGATTTCCTTTAGTTTTTCTTCATTAAGGATTTGCGCTTTTGGGGTGAGTCTCGACACTCACCCTTGCAATTGGGCTATGCATTTCTCACTTTTAGAGTTTGTACATTTAGGTACCGTCCATCTTATGACCCAATTGAACTTCATATCCGAAGAAAAAGTGAACTTCAGAGCTCATTTTTCCCCACGTGGTATTCCCGGAGACAAGTTCTAAGAGAAATTACTATTTCGATTTTTTTAAAAATTTGACTCAACTCTTTCCTCTGTGCAATCTTCTAAATTATTAGGACTTGGAAAGTAATTACATTAACATTATCTGTTGAAAGAAGATGGGGGAAGCAGTGCTTCCCTTGCTTACATGGCCGCCACACCACTGCTTGCCGGTCTTCAAAATGGTCAATTTTTTCTGATTATTGTTGTGGAATGGGTAATTTATAATGGGACTTCTTATGAAAAATCTCTCGAGACGAAAAAACCTTCCGAAATCGTAGGAACTCATGTCCTCCTATTTTTGGAATTATCTGAGTCCTAGGGAAATCAGGTATCCAGACTCCCTTTCCCAAACAGCCTGACTGTTCCGATTTCGTAAACTTTTAGAAAATAAACCGCGAGTGTCAGTGAGAGGAGCTTAATTGCATTGTAGCGTCGCAAAGTTTCACTTAACGATATATTTCTTCCGGAAAGACTAAATTTTCTTCGTGTAATGACGAAAATTCCTTGGAAGCTCCTACAGATAGCATGCTCTTCTCAATGATGTTTAAAGAAATAAGGTGCCCCGTGAAACTTTGCAGTGCTGAATGCAATTATTAAGCTTTTCTGACTTGGTATATTTGTTCGCACTGCTCACTCATTTTAAGATTAGTAACTTTACTGTCCCTTTTCCTGCGCATAGCTCTTTCTAAAATCAAGATGTTTGCTATCAAATAGATAAAAAAAAATTCTATTCTCCGCTGAAGTAAATTGTTTCCATCTGTCAATTTCCTACCTTGTAAAGCTTTGTGCGTATAATTAAAACACCCTCACAGGATCGAGGGACGCTATCGTTTGTCACAGTAGCACTTGGGAGTTCAAAAAAAGCACGACAATTAATCACTCAAAAAAGCATCCCTTTTATCGTCGAATCACATAGAGTTGAGGCAAGTGAATTATTATATTGCAACTTTTAAATCCGTCATAATCACATAAAATAGCACCACAATTATATCGAGAACCTCCATAAAATTAGTCACATACGAGTTTAATCATTCCGAACGAGTAACTTCACTTCCTCAAGTGTCCACATCATCGTAATTCTTTTACTCCTCGTTCGAGAGTGGAGCAGCGTGGATTAGAGCATTTTATCAGCGCTTGATCCTCTTATAGATAAAGAGACTTGGAGTTTAAGTAAATGAAAAAGGCAAGTGTTGAGAAGGCCGCAGCCGCGTTCTGTTTTAATGCTGTGCGCTTAAATTGGGTGATTAAAACGGTGGCAACATGACACTTGTGTCTTCGCTGGAGTTGAGGCGTGTCTTCATTCCGCCGGCTGTCAAGTAGCATCGTCCTACGTTGAGGCTGTGACGTTCCTTTTCGGTAGACGTGACGCATCCTCGGCGAAGATGAGAAGGTGGAAATCGGCAGATACTCCACTGAAAAAAAATTCTCGGCGTTTTTACCACGGTCCGTTGGTACCTTAACCATCTCACTTTTTTTTTTACCGATTATTGGTAATTTTAAGACAGACTGGTAAGCTTACCTAAAAACCGGCATATTTACTGTTTTTTCCAGGTAAGAATACCACTTTTATTGGTAATCAATTCCCGGTAACTTTGCCATTTTATCTCGGTAATTCTACCACAGTTGATAAAAAGTATTGGCGTTTTTACCAAGGTCCAGTAAAATTACCGAGAAAGTTCAATAGTTTTGCCGATATTTCTCGGTAAAATGACCAATTCTATAAATGGTAATCTTACCAAGAAAAAACTGGGATCAAATAGAACCCTGAATTCTTGGTAATTTTACCCCTTCCTTAGTAAATACACCGATATTTTTTTCAGTGTTGGATTACATTCTGCAATTAGGAACCACTATCTCTGGCTCTCCCATAAAAGCAGGCCCGGACTTAGGGCGTGTGCAGGGCGTGCGGCGCACACGGGCGCCAGCCTTTGGGGTGCGCCACGAAAGAAGAAGAGAGGGGAAAAGGAAAAGGAAAAAAAGGGAAGAAAGGACAAGGGGAAAAAAGGAAAAGGAGACAAGGTTGGGCAGTGAAAGCAAGGAAGAAGGGGGGAAATGGAAGGGAAAAGGAGGCAAGAAAAGTGAAAAGAGAGTCCCCGAGAAAGGGAGGGGGGCATAAAAACCATAGACAAAATATAAAGAGAATTGCTGTCTAAAGGTAAATTTTCAGGACAAAAACTCCACCTGGTCCATAGACGGTCAGGCGCCCCTTGACCCTAAATTTGCGGCTGTACAGAAATACAAGAGTAGGCATGTAGTAAGGGGGCGCCATAAATCCATCGAACAGGAGCCGACATAGCATTTTAGGCCAATTCCGCCATCTTGAATTTGAGAACTTTTAAACATAGTAAAAATTCGAGTTTCCGGTCGAAAAATACCCTCAGACACCGAGTTTCAAAAAAATCCATCGAACAGGAGCATTTTAGGCCACGCCCGCAATCTTGGATTTGAGAATTTTCAAAAATCGACTAAAAATTCGAGTTTCCCGTCGAAAAGTACCCCTGATCCTGCGGTTCACAAAGCTCTAACGAACAGAAACGGAGGCCAGTACCGGAGCTCATTTTAGGCCACATCCAACATTTCGGAGTTGAGAATTTCAAAAAGTTGACTAAAAATTCGAGTTTTCTGTTGAGAAATACCGTGTGATACCGCGTTTCACAAGACTCGAACAAACAGAAACCGAGATAGCATTTTAGCCCACGTCCGCCATCTTGAATTTGAGAATTTTAAAAAATGGACTAAAAATTCGAGTTTCCTGTTAAAAATTACCACCTGACACCGAATTTCAGAAAAATCCATCGAACAGGGGCCGAGATGGCATTTTTAGCCACTTCAGTTATTTCGGATTTTTGAAGTTGAAAAATTTTACTTAAAACGCGTGATACCCAAAATCAAAGTTCAGATTCGGATTCCTCGTAAAAAATCGATGCGATTTCATGTATCATACCCTGACACCGAATTTCAGGAAAATCCATCGAACAGGAGCCGAGATGGCATTTTAAGCCACGTCAGTCATTTCTGATTTTCAAATTTGGAAAATTTGACTTAAAACGCGTGATACCCGAAATCGAAGTTCAGATTCGGATTCCTCGTTAAAAATTGATACAGTTTTATGTATCATACCCGAGCATAGCGTGAAGGAAAGAGACGTAACGTAGACATACTGATTCGAGCATATGAGTCCAACGTGGCAACATAGGTAGTGCTCAGTAGGTCAGCGGAGGAGGAAGAATAAGAATTTATCGTGAGGAATTCCTCGGGACGAAACCGAACGCTTGCTTAGCGCCGGCCGGCGCCTCCCCGTTCGGTTGCATCTCGGGCGACCGACGCGGCGGCGTAGTTCAAAGAGGCAGTATGACAGAATCTATACGCGTCGTTAAACCTTTTTCCTTCACGCTATTTTAACATATGATACATGAAATCTCATCAATTTTTCACGAGAAATCCAAATCTGAGCTTAGATTTTGGATATTACGCGTTTTAATCTATTTAAAATCGTAAGAGAATTCACAGAATTGTCCTTGAAAATTGATCACACATTAGTGTTTTTTTACGTCATTAAACCTCTCTCCTTCACGCTATCCTAACATATGGTGTATAAAATCTCATCAATTTTTCACGAGGAATCCGAATCTGAGCTTAGATTTTCGATATTACGCGTTTTAATCTATTTAAAATTGTAGAAGAAATTACAGAATTGTCAATGAGAGTTGATCACACATTAGTGTTTTTCTACGTCATTAAACCTCTTTCCTTCACGCTATTCTAAAATTTGATGCATGAAATCGCATCAGTTCTTCACGAGGAATCCGAATCTGAGCTTAGATTTTCGATATTACGCGTTTTAATCTATTTAAAATCGTAGGAGAAATTACAGAATTGTCCTTGAAAATTGATCACACATTAGTGATTTTTTACCCCGTTTTTCTTCTACGTTCACGTAATGAAATTAGATCAACAGTTGACTCGTCGACTAGTCTAGCCTAACCCCCCAGAATCGGTCTAAAGGGCGAACGATTTTATCAGAAAGATGTGCGGTGCGGTCCTAGTTTCCGGGCAATTGCGGTTTGATGGAAGCTGCGATGGGGAGAAACGGAAGATATGCGAAACTCGGGCGGATATTAAGTGAAAAACCAGGTAGGGGAAAGGCTTTCTTCCCGAAAAGTTAGTGCTCGGGCCAACTTACATGGTCACTGGAGCATTGTATAGCAGGTTGTGGGAAACTATTTTTTTGCAGCAACAACCAATTGGATCGCATTTTGCAAAAATGAACTAAGAGCATTTCAATGTTGCTAGGATTGTGCAACTCAGGTACATTCTTTGCAAAAAGTAAACTTTGCGACGGTAATTTTCGTCTTGAATTCATAGTTTATTGGGAGTAGAGGTGAAACTAATTTAGATGATCGTTTATGTTTGCAAGGTTAGCGACATTGGGATGCTCTTGCACACATCTGCTTAGGGGAACCAATGGCATATCGACGGTGAAACTACCAAACCACGTATCTCGGTTTGCGACGTCGCAGACTTCCTGTCATACTTTATTTTTTAAATGAAAAACTACTTAACATCCAGTCTTGAAAATTTCTGTGATTTTTCCTCTTCGTGCGGAGAAAATTCTGTGAAAATTTTAAGGAATGATATTGATTTGGTCTACTTCCAAAAAATAAAATGCGAGCGTAGATTTTTAAACACCGCAAACGAGATACGTGGTTTGGTAGTTTCACCGTCGATATGTGTTGTTTCTAAAATTGACCGTAAATAGCGGTTCCTTACTGCAAAATGTAATCCATTTAACGAAGTGGGCGGAGCCGCCGAAAGCAAGATGTTTTTCGGTATCGTACCGACACATTACGGAATAATGCGCGAACAAAACCACAAAAAATTCATCGTGATCTTCGATGTTATAGATTTTCTCCTATTTTGAATGAAATTAAAGGTCCGAGCCACCATCTCAAAAACCCGGAAAGCGTGGACTCAAGTATTTTCGATTCACTCCCTCGGAAAAAATTCGCTCTGAGTACGATAATATCGTCACCTTCTGGCTGAAGTATCACAATTGCCATGCGACGTTTAAAAATTTCCGCCGACGTTTCATTTTTTTACGGAGAAATGGTTCAACGAAGCTGTCCGAAAATTTCACTGAGTTTTATTTGTGCTGCCGATAAAATTCAGTGAAATTTTCAAACAGACTCAACCAACAATTTCTCTGTAGAAAAATAAAATGTCGGCGGAAATTTTTAAACGTCATATGGCGCTCGTGATAATTTGGCCGGAATTTGACGATATGTTGGAACATGGCCCGGCTATAGGATTTGTTGCAGCCCGCTTTCGCCAACGTGTAATATTAGGGGCCGTTCGAGTATTGTGTAACGCATTTCCCTCAATTTTTGATCCCCTTCCCCCTTGTAACGCCCGCCCATAACGCAGCCCTACACCCCTCCCTTTGAATTACGTAACGCTGGCCTGATCTCCCCCCTCCCGAATTATAAAACAAATCAAGAGAACGCGAAAAAAAAGTTTGAGAAAAATTCGGATTATTTTGGGAGATAAATCGCTGAAATGCGACGGGAAGAGGTAAAAAACGGTGTGAAAATACAGGATCAGATTTGCTTTATTCATAATTTTACCGGGAAAGTGCTCTTGTAAAATTTTGAATAGTTCACCATTGCAAATACATAATATTGAAATAAAAAAATAGAAGAAGAATGTCCAAGAAGACGCACATTTTTTCAAAGCCCCCCCCCCCTCCCCGGCCTCGGATTTGTTACGTAACACTGGGCTTGACCCCCCTCTCCCCGATGGAAAAGTATCGATAATAATCGATTATTTACCATAGCTTCAAATGGAGAAATATCGATAGATCGCAAAGCACGCCACGCCACTGCCCTTATCCCTCATTAACCCGCAAGACATTCTTAAAAAGGAAAAAAAGCGGACCTATCCGCGGATTGTAAGGGTGCAGGTGCCCCCCCCCCTTCGAAACCACGAGCCGTCAGCTAAGATTTACAAGTAAGGGGGGGGGCGAGAACACCAACATGGAAATAACTGTGCGAATCGACATTCATTGGGCCGAAACCTGCCACCCTCTAAAAGGTGACTGAATCCACCCTCGGAAAGAAT